GAGTTTGCCCCCTTCCTGCTTCCGCAAGATTCACTAGCCAGTCTTAGTGAGCATACTATTCACGTGATAAATTCTATCCAATGATTGCAAATACTCTAGGCCTAGCCTAGCCGCACTAAACACAACGTTACCATGGTTACTCTAGCCTAGCCGCTCACAGGGATTTGTTTGTTTAAAAATGAAGCGCAAAGCGGCAGAAGCAGCAGAGTGTTAAGACTTGACATACAGTCTAGATGACAGTTGCATGCATAAAACTAGTTTAAGTCACCAATGCAAAATCTGAAGTTTGTGAACCTCAACTAAGCCTTTCACTTGTTATACGTTGCATGCCACTTTTCGCGCGCGAAGCCGAAGGCATATATCTCTGATATTTGGGATACGTAACATGTATCAAGTTAAGACTTTAGCCGTTACCGAGTGATACACGCTTTATGCCGAGAACACATTGACTGCTTTAAAATCACCACATATCCGTACAGAAACTCCTTTCTTTACAGGCTGCACTGGAGCTCTGTTCAGTCTTTACCAGGATTCCCTGGTTTACTATTTTGACTAGCTCGGTTTCTACCTTTGTTTTTATCGCAAACGGCACTGACCTTGTCTTCTGGCTTACCAGAGTTACTCCTTCTTTCAGAATCAGTTTTGCTTCGGTGTTGGTTACCCGTTCTAGCTCATCTTTAAAGATTCTGCTCTGCTTCAACTCCTCTATGCTTCGTACCGTTTCAGTTTAAATACCTCAGTATCTGATGGTGTCCCCCTGACTCTCTTAAGCCAGTCCTGCCCCCAGAATGTGTGATCCAGACCCTACCCAGTAAAGAAGGGAACTGTCTTTACTACGTATAACAGTAGATCTTTTCGCACCATTCCGTCTATCTTGGCTTTCACCAGTACTTTATACAACACCTCTGGCTCTACTATCTCTCCGTTTGCCACTCTCAGCCTCTTTGTAGCTCGTATCTTGTTCAGATCCATCCCCGACAACTGGTTCTCTGAAACTACTGTTATACTCGCTCCCGAATCAAATTCAAAATTCAGGGAACGATCATTAATTTCAGCAAGAATATTAGACGCAATTTCATGCATATTCTCAATATTGTCATGCAAATCAGCCATGTAATCAAAACTAGCAATATATTCAGTATTATTACTGTAGTGCGACACCAGATCCTGTCATATTTCCAAGTTCAGGTCAGAGATTCTATCCTTCTTATGTTATGGACCATTAAGTGATTCGTCGGGTCGGTTCACGTCACATATTTCGAAGTGATCCACTGATACAGTCGTAAGCAGCAGGTGATAACAATTCCTTCGGGTCGGTTCAAGCCACGTATGTCGAAGTGATCCACTGAGTCAGTCGTAAGCAGCAGATGATCTTAATTCCTATCACACGCATCGTATAACTATAAAGACAAATCTGATTTGGATAACATTAACAAGTTCATAGGCTTGGGCCATATATTATAAGGTCACGATGATTCTACCGAAGCATCAAATAATATGTCCACCTTCATTCCTGGACTTACTTCTGGTTCAAGAAACTTTATCCACGACGGATACCGCTACTGCCTGGATAAGAAGCGCGACGACAAAACCTACGACGACACAGTTGGTGACTGTCCACGGACTGTATCCTGACGGCTGGAGAATTCCCCTCGCATAGACGCATTCGGCTTACTCCCCGGAAAGACGCAATCCCCTGGATGAGCTTGGAGGTTTTCGCACTAGGGTACGTGTCGCACTAGGGTACGTGACGCAATACAGTACGGGAATCTTAATCATCATCCGGAGATGGAGCCACTACGAAGTAATATTTGGAACTATTATTACTATTAGCACCAGAATAAGTATATCAGAAGTTCTGTAAATTTACAGGAGAAAAACTAAGGATCTAATCAGCGCGGCGAATTTGTTTGTCATTATAGGAATAAAATTGAATTGCAATCATCTCGTTTCCACAAAGGATCAAAATAAATTCAATTATAGTTACACTGCAGTGTCACTATCAGTATCAGTATTAGTAAATCTACCTCGGCCTCATTACTTGCCGGGGGACCTCAGGATTTTCTGTTCTGCGGAATGACAGAATGTCGATTGAGCGCCGCCAAGCGACTTATTCACTTTGAACTCCTTTCAATTTCATTTGTGCGTGTTTTTTATACAGTTACTAGAAAGCCCGTGCGAACAGGGATGAAGCTAGTAGGTTTCTATTTTTTGGTAGTCATTTCTTATAGAGTTATAGCATCAAAAGTCTCCGTCATAATCGAGTATACAGCCCATTAAAATGTAGCTCGCACTGAACACAATGTAATTACCACAAAACCGATCAAAATGATGATTAAAACAATCATTGCACGTGTACGTACACATTTCAACACTGTTAACATGGTTACTTTGCAACTACATATTTCTCATCTATTTGCACGTGGGCAGTCGTACAAACAAAAATAATTATCTGAATTATAGTATAGACTAGAAAGCCCGTGGTAACAGGGATGAACTCTTGAAGCTAGTAGTTTTCTATTTATTTGGCAGTCAGTTTCCATAGCATCAACAAATATCCATCACAACCGAAGATACAGCCAATAAAAAGTTAAAATATAGCTCGCACTTAACACCACGTAATAACAAAAAACCGATCAAAATGCCTCTCTCAAATCCTTGCACGTGCACGTGCGTGTAATAACCCTCGTTACATGGTTATTATGTAACTTCTTATTTCTCGTCTAACTCTAATTTGCACGTGGGCGGTCGTACAGCAGAAATAATTCTCTGAATTATAATATAGACTAGAAAGCCCGTGGTCACAGGGAGGAAGCTAATAATATTCTTTGGTAGTCAGTTTTTATAGTATCTACAAATATCCATCACAACCGAAGATACAGCCAATTGAAATATAGCTCGTACTGAACACCACCTAATAACAAAAATACCGATCAAAATGCCCTCTCAAATCCTTGCACGTGCAAGTGCACTTTTAACACCGTTACCATGGTTACTATGCAACTTTATATTTCTTATGTAGGACGTAGGTACCATGCCAACGTTTAATGTCATTGGATTTGTTTACATAATTTGCACGTGGGCGGTCGTACGTACAAAGATAATTCTCTGAATTATAATATAGACTAGAAAACCCGTGGAGGAAGCTAATAGCATTTTTTGTTAATAACTTTAAATCGCGTCAAAAAATATCCATCACAACCGAAGATACAGCCCATTAAAATGTTGCTCGCACTAAACACAACGTAATATCAACAAAACCGATAAAAATGCCGTTTTAACAATCTTTGCACGTGCATGTGCGTGTAACAACCCTCGTTACCATGGTATATTTGCAACCTTTTGTTTTTTTACCGAATTTGCAAGTGGGCGGTCGTACAGACAGACGGACAGAAAGAATTCTCTGAATTATAAGTAAGACTAGAAAACCCGTGGTCACAGGGAGGAAGCTAATAGTATTTTTTGTTAGTAAGTTTAATAAATCGCGTCAAAAAATATCCTACACAACCGAAGATACAGACGATTAAAATGTTGCTCGCACTAAACACAACGTAATATCAACAAAACCGCGATAAAAATGCCGTTCTAACAATCTTTGCACGTGCGTGTAACAACCCTCGTTACCATGGTTACTTGTACTACGCAAGTTCATATTTTTCTTTTGATTTGCACGTGGGCGCGGTCGTACAGACATACATACAGAAATAATTCTTTGAATGATAGTATTACTAGAAAACCCGTGGTCACAGGGAGGAAGCTTATAGTATTTTTTGTTAGTAATTTTAAATCGCGTCAAAAATATCCTACACAACCGAAGATACAGCCGATTAAAATGTTGCTCGCACTAAACACAACGTAATATCACCAAAACCGATAAACATGCCGTTTTAACAATCTTTGTACGTGCACGTGCGTGTAACAACCCTCGTTACCATGGTCACTTTGCAAGCTTTTGCTTTTTACCTTATTTGCACGTGGGCGGTCGTACATACATACATACAGAAATAATTCTTAATTGAATTATAAGTAAGACTATTACTATTAGTATTAGTAGAGATAGAAGGAATTGCTATTTGAAGTTTATCTTTTCTATGGCTCTTACTAATTCGCTCGCCCAAAAATTTCACGTGACTTTGGTTTTTATGGTTTTGCAGCCGTACAAAACGGTTTTACATAAACCCTAATCCCAACCTTAACCCTAACCATAACCCCGAAGCTATCCATAACCCTTACCACAACCCCAACCCTAACCCGCGCCCTAAACAATCGAATTCATGTTTTACCAGCCTGTCACATGACCAAAACGATTTTTTGCCCATAACTCTCCAGGGTAGCATTTTTACTCTACGTCATGGGAGTGATTCGGAATCAGCGTCCAAAATACACCGATTGAGATCTATTTCATACCCATAGGGCCTTTTACAAGAATTTTCTTAAAATTTGGGCGAGCGATTTAGTAATAGTAGGAGCGATCTTTTATATACTTATATAGAATTTGAGTGGATAAGTGAATAGCAGTGCCAGTAGAACGAATTAAACAACATTTGATAAAAAAGAAATAGATCCATAAAATCCCTGTGTATCTTATTCTTGAACAATAATCTTAGAATGTGTGTCTGTCTGTATGTAATTTCCGAGCGGCTTAATCATTTTTTTCGGTATTGTTTTGACAAAACTCGAAGCGTAATGAATAAGGTTTTTAAAATTGGTTGGTGGTAAGTGGTTTAATTAATGGTTTTGTACCACAAATGTGACATAAAATGGCTCACTTTTTCTCCCTCCTCGCTCTCCCCCCCCCCCCCCCCCCCCCTGCATATAATATGCAGCGTGGGTACATAAATCATAATTAGGTAAGCCGCGAGAATCACTGTCATGTAATACTATAAGCTTATTAGAGAGGGGGGGGGGGGAGAAAGTGAAGTCCCGGCCGTAGGCCATAAGGCACAGGTTACACTAGTATCATCATACAAATGAAGCTCATGCTTAATCATTACACTTACAGAAAGCACACAGAGTAATGCTTAAGTTCGGTAACAGAAATAATTTTCTAAAGAAGGCATATAATTATTCTCGCTCTCTCTCCTCAAAACCAAACGGATTCCTTGAGCAACACGAAAGGTATGACTATTGAAATCTATCACTCATCCCATACTGTACTAACGATTCCAAAGTAATGCCAGTCTTTCTTATTGAACAATGAACACTCATCTCATACTGCACTAACGATTCCAAAGTAATGCCAGTCTTTCTTATTGAACAATGAACACTCATCTCATACTGCACTAACGATTCCAAAGTAATGCCAGTCTTTCTTATTGAACAATGAACACTCATCTCATACTGCACTAACGATTCCAAAGTAATGCCAGTCTTTCTTATTGAACAATGAACATCCGAATTATTCGCGTACTCAATTTCTCAGTGTTGAAACAAGACATGCTAAAGACAACGCTGAGGTTGTAATAATTGGAGGAGGATGTGTTGGTACTAGTTTGGCGTATCATCTCGCAAAGTTTGGAGTGAAAAATGTGGTGCTTCTTGAGAAAACTGAACTCACTGCTGGATCAACATATAGTGCAGTAAGTATCGTCATCTGTATGAGATTTTGTTGAAACATTCGAGATTTTTGTTGTTTTTTTCTTTAACTATTATTTCGAAGCAATTTCGGACAAAATCCTCTAGGCTGGTCTGACAACATACTATAATCATGGTATCAACATGCGGAACCTACATTACGAGTCACTTAAGCTTTTCGAAACAATTGAAGCAGAAACTGATCAGGTAATTCATAAATTATTGATGAAAGAATTTCAAATAAGTTTCACCATCTAAAATTTTTTGGATTTTGAAGTTTTGCTTTTTTACTCATTAGAGCTGAATTCCCTAAAGTTGACGAAAATATTAATTTCAGGAAATTGGATTTAACGCCACTGGTTCACTCCGTTTGGCCCATACAAAAGAGCATTTCAACGAGTTCAAGTAAGAATATTTATTATGTAGCACTAGCAGTCATAGATACTTCTCTAGCAATCAAATGAATTAAAATTTATAACTTGATATTGATTGTTGAATTCCGAAAATTTGGCTGAAATTCTTATATTATAACCTATGCAGTAATCTTTGACACGATTACAAATGCATCTAATCATCAGATACTGATAACGATAATGATTACCTCTGAACCATCTTTCTGTCCAGATACATGATGAGCCGACATACGTGGCAGCGAGCCAACGAGCATCTAGTTGTCATGGTGACGTCACACACCACGTGTCATGACGTCACAACGAGCATCTAGTTGACCCCGACACTATAGAACAGATGCATCCTTTTCTGAACATGGAGGGAATTAAAGGGGGGTTATACACCCCTGGTGATGGACATACCGACCCTTATAGTCTTACTATGGTGGGTTCTATAATACTATAATAGTCATACCTTCTAAAATAACACCATCTTAATCACATTTTTATTACCTTTAAAAAATTCGCCCTAACTGAAAGGTCTTATAACAACCGTTCATGCAGGCGTATGCTAAAGGAGCCCGAATGTATGGAGCAACATTAGTGCAAGACTGTATAGTCACTGTATAGTCACTGTATAGTCACTGTATAGTCACTGTATAGTCACTGTATAGTCACTGTATAGTCACTGTATAGTCACTGTATAGTCACTGTATAGTCACTGTATAGTCACTGTATAGTCACTGTATAGTCACTGTATAGTCACTGTATAGTGACTGTATAGTCACTGTATAGTCACTGTATAGTCACTGTATAGTCACTGTATAGTCACTGTATAGTGACTGTATAGTCACTGTATAGTCACTGTATAGTCACTGTATAGTCACTGTATAGTCACTGTATAGTGACTGTATAGTCACTGTATAGTCACTGTATAGTCACTGTATAGTCACTGTATAGTCACTGTATAGTCACTGTATAGTCACTGTATAGTCACTGTATAGTCACTGTATAGTCACTGTATAGTCACTGTATAGTCACTGTATAGTCACTGTATAGTCACTGTATAGTGACTGTATAGTCACTGTATAGTCACTGTATAGTCACTGTATAGTCACTGTATAGTCACTGTATAGTGACTGTATAGTCACTGTATAGTCACTGTATAGTCACTGTATAGTCACTGTATAGTCACTGTATAGTGACTGTATAGTCACTGTATAGTCACTGTATAGTCACTGTATAGTCACTGTATAGTCACTGGCACTAAACAGAGGGCTGTATAGTCACTGTATAGTCACTGTATAGTCACTGTATAGTCACTGTATAGTCACTGTATAGTCACTGTATAGTCACTGTATAGTCACTGTATAGTCACTGTATAGTCACTGTATAGTCACTGTATAGTCACTGTATAGTCACTGTATAGTCACTGTATAGTGACTGTATAGTCACTGTATAGTCACTGTATAGTCACTGTATAGTCACTGTATAGTCACTGTATAGTCACTGTATAGTCACTGTATAGTCACTGGCACTAAACAGAGGGCTGTATAGTCACTTTATAGTCACTGTATAGTCACTGTATAGTCACTGTATAGTCACTGTATAGTCACTGTATAGTCACTGTATAGTCACTGTATAGTGACTGTATAGTCACTGTATAGTCACTGTATAGTCACTGTATAGTCACTGTATAGTCACTGTATAGTGACTGTATAGTCACTGTATAGTCACTGTATAGTCACTGTATAGTCACTGTATAGTCACTGGCACTAAACAGAGGGCTGTATAGTCACTGTATAGTCACTGTATAGTCACTGTATAGTCACTGTATAGTCACTGGCACTAAACAGAGGGCTGTATAGTCACTGTATAGTCACTGTATAGTCACTGTATAGTCACTGTATAGTCACTGTATAGTGACTGTATAGTCACTGTATAGTCACTGTATAGTCACTGTATAGTCACTGTATAGTCACTGTATAGTGACTGTATAGTCACTGTATAGTCACTGTATAGTCACTGTATAGTCACTGTATAGTCACTGTATAGTGACTGTATAGTCACTGTATAGTCACTGTATAGTCACTGTATAGTCACTGTATAGTCACTGGCACTAAACAGAGGGCTGTATAGTCACTGTATAGTCACTGTATAGTCACTGTATAGTCACTGTATAGTCACTGGCACTAAACAGAGGGCTGTATAGTCACTGTATAGTCACTGTATAGTCACTGTATAGTCACTGTATAGTCACTGTATAGTCACTGTATAGTCACTGTATAGTCACTGTATAGTCACTGTATAGTCACTGGCACTAAACAGAGGGCTGTATAGTCACTGTATAGTCACTGTATAGTCACTGTATAGTCACTGTATAGTCACTGTATAGTCACTGTATAGTCACTGTATAGTCACTGTATAGTCACTGTATAGTCACTGTATAGTCACTGTATAGTCACTGTATAGTCACTGTATAGTCACTGTATAGTCACTGTATAGTCACTGTATAGTCACTGTATAGTCACTGTATAGTCACTGTATAGTCACTGTATAGTCACTGTATAGTCACTGTATAGTCACTGGCACTAAACAGAGGGCTGTATAGTCACTTTATAGTCACTGTATAGTCACTGTATAGTCACTGTATAGTCACTGTATAGTCACTGTATAGTCACTGTATAGTCACTGTATAGTCACTGTATAGTCACTGTATAGTCACTGTATAGTCACTGTATAGTCACTGTATAGTCACTGTATAGTCACTGTATAGTCACTGTATAGTCACTGTATAGTCACTGTATAGTCACTGTATAGTCACTGTATAGTCACTGTATAGTCACTGTATAGTCACTGTATAGTCACTGTATAGTCACTGTATAGTCACTGTATAGTCACTGTATAGTCACTGGCACTAAACAGAGGGCTGTATAGTCACTGTATAGTCACTGTATAGTCACTGTATAGTCACTGTATAGTCACTGGCACTAAACAGAGGGCTGACGGAACATGGGAGATAAGACTGTATAGTCACTGGCACTAAACAGAGGGCTGACGGAACATGGGAGGTAAGGTTTTGTTGAGCTTTGTTAACCACTCCAATTACTCCAAAATTGATTTGGTTAGTGTTGTTGTGTATCACATCTCTGCTATTTTATGTGCTATTAATGACGACAATTTGGACAGGTGGATACACCTTCTGGAAAAATAAACACAAAGCAACTGGTGAACGCTGCCGGATTCCACGCCCGAGAAATCGGGCAGATGTCGGGGCTTAATCTACCTCTTGCTCCTGTGCACCATCAGTACGTATTGGTTTTCAAATTGAGCTAAAATCTATGACAGTAAAGACAAAATGTTATAATTGAATTATAATTGAATTATATTTGATCAGTTATAATTGATGAGTGTGATTGGTAGTTCAAAATTGTAGTATTGCATGTTAGCTTCTCGTTGTCCTAATATTAGTGACCAATAACACTAATTGGTCACAAATTAATCACACAAATTAACACAAATTATAACAAATTATAACAATTAATCAATACCTCAGGTACCTGGTTTCTGCAAGTGTTCCCTTATTGGAAGACTGGCAGAAGAACCAGAACGGTCGTCAGATTCCAACTATTCGGGATCTTAGAGGTTCTTATTACGTGAGACAAGAGCGAACAGGTTGCTATAACAACCTTATAAGGACAATATTGTAATGTGTGCTGTTGAGACATTGTTTGATAAATTAAGTCCCCGAAAAGCCTGGAGCTAAAAAATGAGTTGGTTTTGTATTTTTGGCTGCAGATAATGTCAACCAGAAATATTATAGCTGTGGTTTACTAAAGACGCTACATAAAAACAATAAAAGCTATGTACAATAAATGCAGTACGTGTCTTTAGCTTGTGTACTAACTTTCTCTCTAGTCATCAATTTTGTTGTGTTAACAAGTACTGAAATGTACGGCACAGAGTGGCTTAGGGTTACTGAAAAGGGGATAAGCACCTCAGGCCATCCCAACGTTCGGGAGAGACCTGCCCTTGTATTATCTTGTATTGAAATGTACATTCTTGTATTTGTGTTTCTACTGTATTCCATCTACAACATTGTGACAACGTTTACAAAACCAGGACTATTGATTGGACCGTACGAGGCACCAGATAAGATGAAGATTCAGGAGGACTGGTATGATAACGGCATCCCTAGAGGCTTCTCTAAAGAAGCATACGAAAGTGATTTGGATCGTATTGATAGGTGCATAGAACATTGTATGGAACTAATGCCAATAATGCAGGAAACTGAAATTAAGGTTAGCAGTTAACTTATGTAGGTTAGGATTTTAGATCCAAGATATAGAAATTTGACCAAAACCCATAATCATGGGTAGAGTGAACCGCTGCCAGTGTCTCTCTTTTCCAAACAAAAGGAAATGATATTAATTTGAGGAACCGTCTGCAAATGCAAACTGATACCGAGAATGAAATCGGTCGCTCGCTTTTCCCATTCAATAAGCTTTATTACAATTCGTAAGCCGATTTTTTACAGTCGATTTGGTCAACGTCTAGACGCCCTGCAAAATTTCAGATCTCTAACTCATTTTTAACATGGTTTTTTTACCTAATTTCGTATAACATGCTGGCCCGTATTTTGCGCAAATTTCTTTAAAACCTCTACATAACTATTTCTTATTCCTGTCATCTTTAACATTGAATAAGAATGTTTTGAACTTAAATATACCTGCTGAACTACTTTCGATGAGTCTTAATGTCTGAAAAACAATAAAGGGGATATAATAGTATAGGGGGTAAATAGTATTGTGAATATAATGGCAACGGTAACGCTTGCCAGCATTGCATGATAGACTGTTGTAAATAAAACCCTCATTTAATTCCGCTTTTATGAAATTAAATCTTCCGGTAATATTATACCCAGAATAATTATAAATACTTCCGCAGAACGCAATAGCAGGACCGATTACATACTCTCCCGACATGTTACCGATGATGGGTCCAACTCACCACCTAACTAATTACTGGCTAACAGTCGGATTTGGCTGCTTCGGTATTGTGCATTCTGGAGGTGCTGGAAAATACCTTGCTAGGTCAGTTTTCTCGCTAAATTCCTTGCTACATTACCTGCTTTTGGACAGTTTGGATAGCTTAGCATGTAATTGAATCTCATAATGCAAAATAAAACTGGTAAACATAATATGAATATCTTATAGCTCACTCCTTGCAAAATATTTATCAGATGGATGATAAACGGAGAACCTGACTACGATCTGATAGAATGTGATCCAGATAGATTTTCTGACTGGACGGACAGGAAGTTCCTAATGGCGAAGGCTCGAGAGTCCTACGGAATGAACACCTCACCTGCGTACCCTAAAGAGGAGAGGTGGGCAGGACGACCTACCGAGAGAGTGAGCGGAGCTTACCAGGAAATTAAAGAAAGAGGAGCTGGTAGGTGCAGAGTTCCCCACTTCTTTTTTAGGTTTTCAGTATTTTTAGTCTTTTGTTCACTTTAACATTTAAATCAAGCGACACATAATGCTGATGATTACACATAATGCTAGATTACCTTTTAACTACAGCGTTTGGGTTCAATGCTGGGTGGGAACAGGCGCGCTTCTTTGCAACTCAAGGGGAACTCAAGACCACACCAGCCTGTTACACGAGGAAACATTGGCATGATGCCGTAGGCAGAGAAGTTGATCTCATTCTCAACGGAGTTGGTGTAGCTGATCTCACTTATTTCGGGAAGTTCATTTTGGAAGGTCCAGGTGCAACTAAGTTCCTCTCCTCGATGGTTGCTAATACTCTACCCAAGGTCTGTAAATGGTACAAAACAAATGCTAATGTTCATGTAAACTGTGCCAAATGTTCACAACTCAAAACCCACTAATATTCAGCCACCGTCAATATTGAATTCAACGTTCATTCTCTATCAAACATCTGACGAATATTTACAGGAACAACAAGTTAACCTCTCTCACATGCTTACTCCTAACGGTAAAGTTTACGCTGAACTAACAATATCTAGACTTGGAAAAGACCGGTATTATCTGGTGACAAGTGCTGGCAGTGAATTACATGATCTCAGGTAGTTATTATACTACTAAAAACAATATCACCCCAATAACTTGTAGGGGTGATATTGTTTTTGGGCGATCTAGTTTAGCCGTATTTTCAATACCAACTAAGGAAGTGCGCTAAATTCGTTTTTTTTCACTCACTATTATGTCTACTTTCACACGCGTCTATTACTTTAATCAATGAGTGTTGATCCAAATGACCAGTGTAAACAGAATAAGTTAACAAGAATTCATATGACAGGTGGCTGAAGCATCATATGCCTGAGAATGCAGATTTTACACTGCAGAACGTGACCGATCAAATGGGAGTTCTAGCAGTAACCGGGAAATATTCCCGTGACGTCATGACCAAGCTTACTGACAGTGCTATGTCGTGAAATGAGCTTGGCCGGATATGATGTTCAGGCAACAAGGATTTCGTACACTGGTAAATTATAATGATTAGCAGGAACCCCGTCTAACCCTAAACAAAGTGACCCAACAATATTTAGTTCAGGATAAAACTTAGAACTCAAGGAAATGATTCCTCGTAAAATGTACATTTAATTAATGCATACTTTACTCCAGGTGAGTTAGGATGGGAAATTCATCATGATCGAAACGACACAGGCGCCCTTTACAAAAGAATTTTAGAAGCAGGAGCTGAATTTGAGATCGGAGATTATGGTTGGTTTGCAACAAACTCCTTAAGACTTGAAAAAGGATTGAGGCACTGGGGAGACGAGGTGACTTTTGCAAATTAAATCTTTCTCGGTTTTAATGGTCACATACACATCGGATTAAATCGGAGTTTTGTTTTTTGTTTGAAAACCAGTTTTTTGCTGGTACCCATAAGGGCTTTGGAACCAATATATAGTAAATTGTATGAATAAATCAAATCCCCGTGGGGCACGCGACATTCAAGGTCTAGTTGCAAGCACATGTTATAAAACATTGTAAAATAGCCTCAAGACCAGAACTGCATATTGCTTGGGCTTTCAGCCCAGTTTGCTCAACAGTTCGTGGCATACTTACCTAACTTAAAACCTTAGTGCAATGCTTGCAACAACTAAAATCCTACTCTATAACTAAGTTACCCTATTACGTATAATCTAGAAGAGTGATGCAAAAAGTCAACTGATAACGCAGTCTAATCATACTCTTATCAGTAGTTCCTCTAACCTCTGTTCTCAGTTATACAAAAAGTTTTAACTCAATGAAATTAACGTCAAACACATACACAAATGCTTGACTTTCTCAAATAATTAGTCACTCAGCGACACAGACTTTGTTGTTTTTTATGTAATATTTCTTGCTCGGGTCCGTCTTGATTCGCTCTTTCATTTCCTGTACGAGCTTTTGGCGAGAGATTCGCTCATCCTGCGACCTGTCTGGAGATAAGTAGAGTTTGTTGTAGTTGAAATTGTAGTCTGCCACATCAACCGATTTCAAGACTTTTGCTCTGCTCAGAAATTCACGTACAATTTCAGAATCTCGCATAGTAACTTTTATCGGCCGTGATCGAGGGCTGTCAGACTTCTTTACTCCCACTCTCTCAATGTTTGTTATAGTCGGCCTTCCAATGAACTTCATAAAACCCCAAATATCACCCACGAGATCCCGTTCGTTCATTTCTTGCTCTTCACATTCGAGCTGTTCTGGGGCCCCGAAGATGATAAAGTTTTTCGACCGATCATCTTCTGTAATCGCCGATTTCACAGCCATTTTGATTTTAGCTGGAGAGATATCATTAGCTACGCTGTTATTCTTCACAACATCTGTAAACAGTTTTATTTCTGTTTTCACTGTCTCCTTCACTGAAGCTAGTTTACCAGATTTGCATTGGATGAGCTCGTTCTGAGTTTTTATCTCAGGACAATAAGATTGTTCAATTTCAGGAACATTTGAAAAACTGCCAACATTTAAAATGTATTCTTCAATTTCAGATGAATCTGGATAAGAACCCTTTCGAAGCCGGTTTAGGGTCCTTCATAAAAACAAACAAAAAAACACCTTTCATCGGTCAAGAGGCTTGTAAGGAAATGCTACGTAACGAGTTGAAGAGCAAACCTTAGATGGCAAGTACGTACGGTACAGGGCTTTAAGTACGTACGGTACAGCTACTTTTAAAGGTACGTACGGTACAGGCACTGTAAGGTTCAATTTTTTTTCAAATTTTTAGAATCAACTTCAGTGAATTACTTTTTGATTTTTTTTTTATTAGTATTATCATCATAATTTTTGAGACAGAACTAGAAGTCGAAAATAAACACACAAATTAACCGGTACTATACTACTACTACTTATAATACCTTCCGGGAATTATATCCACTAAAAGTCTCGGACACTGAGAGCTGATAATTTGCCGATATATCCCGCAAGGGAAGCCAAGGTATTATCAGTATTAGTCCAGTCATTTACGGACATTTTTGGGTTAGTACCTGCAAATTTTCAGATACCCACGAAACTTTGCACAGACCTTCCCAAAGGTATGATAAAACGATTTTCGGTTGGAGACATTTTTTTTACTTTGGGCAAAACCCAGGAGGGCCACGCCCATCTGACCCAATAACGTAACTGACCCCTTGCTTCTGAAGGTCGTAGAGACTTCAAAATAGGCTTAAACGAAGCCGCATATGCATGTTTATATAAGAGTTATTGATCAACACATTGCCTAAAATCCTTACTTTTCGAGAAATTCGCCAAAAACCATTTTGGGCGTGGCGCTGAGCCGATTTTACTAACTTTTGATAGGATTGTGATAGAGTCTTTGGATAGAGTGCAAAAGAACCGCAATTGGCATATTTATATATGACTTACGAAGAAACATATGCCTTAAAGTGCTTACTTTTTCAGTTATTGGCGAAAAACTGATTTTCGGTTCCAGAAATCATGCAAAAATATGGGTATGTGGTACATTGGGCTATGAAGGCCTTAGAGATTTTTGAATGAGTGCAAATTGTGCAGAATGGCCATGTTTATATACAACTTATGAAGCAACATGCACCCTAAAATGCTTACTTTTCGAGTTATTTGGGGGAAAAACAGAGAAAATTTGCACAAAATAGAGCAAAATTGGTTATATCAGCCATTTTTGCCTCCCGTTTTATGTTAATAACTCGAAAAGTAAGCATTTTAGGGTGCATGTTGCTTCATAAGTTGTATATAAACATGGCCATTCTGCACAATGTGCACTTATTCAAAAATCTCTAGGGCCTTCATAGCCCAATTTACCACATACCCATATTTTTGCATGATTTCTGGAACCGAAAATCAGTTTTTCGCCAATAACTGAAAAAGTAAGCACTTTAAGGCATATGTTTCTTCGTAAGTCATATATAAATATGCCAATTGCGGTTCTTTTGCACTCTATCCAAAGACTCTATCACAATCCTATCAAAAGTTAGTAAAATCGGCTCAGCGCCACGCCCATAATGGTTTTTGGCGAATTTCTCGAAAAGTAAGGATTTTAGGCAATGTGTTGATCAATAACTCTTATATAAACATGCATATGCGGCTTCGTTTAAGCCTATTTTGAAGTCTCTACGACCTTCAGAAGCAAGGGGTCAGTTACGTTATTGGGTCAATATGGGCGTGGCCCTCCTGGGTTTTGCCCAAAGTAAAAAAAATGTCTCCAACCGAAAATCGTTTATTCATACCTTTGGGAAGGTCTGTGCAAAGTTTCGTGGGTATCTGAAAATTTGCAGGCACATGTCCATAAATGACTGGACTATATAGACCTCAGACTGGCTGGCGGCAAGTTGTAAAACAAATAACACTGGCGTTCTATATATTAGACACTATATTGTATCATGCGCACGTATCGGATTACACCCCTTCCAATTCGGAACCGGAAAATATTATAATACATAATACCTCCGGTTCTTCGGGCCGCAAATTCCCTCCAGCAAGCTGTCGGGAATTATCAAGCGGAGCCCGAAGAGCCGAAGGCATTATTATATTGTAATTATCGTTAAACTCAAAGCTTCATCCTTTTGTTGCAGTATACGAACACCAGCTTTTCAGCTAGCTCAGGTCGCAACCTTAATCTACGCTTGTCCATTGCTATCAACTGGATTTGTACCTTTCAGCCTATTTTATTAAGTACGTACCGTACAGCTAAGTTAAAGGTACGTACCGTACGTACTTGCCATCTTAGGAGCAAACTAGTGATGTTGACTGTTGATACTCATGGTTATTTGGATCCGGAGGGTAACGAGACTATTTGGTTTAACAACCGGGTATGCAAGAATTTAAACCTGTTGCATAGTTGCTTAACATATTGCATGATAATTGATGAACAAATATTTTTCACAGTTTTCTTCTCATTTTGTTAATAAAATGAAATAGTAGTCGATCCTGTTATTAAGTTAACTAATTAGTTAACTTATTAATTAACTAATTGGTCAACTAATTGTGAAATAATACAGGTGGTTGGTAACACTACATCTGGAGCCTGGAGTTACAGCGCCAATACAAGTATTTGCATGGCATACCTCCCAACCAGTCTCAGTGAGCAAGGTTCCAATGTGTACGTTGAACTCCTAGGCAAGAGGTAAGACTTAAGTAAACGGGTTAGATAGATGTCAGTGTATTGTGAGATGTTGAACTCCTAGGCAAGAGGTAAGACTTAAGTAAACGGGTTAGATAGATGTCAGTGTATTGTGAGATGTTGAACTCCTAGGCAAGAGGTAAGACTTAAGTAAACGGGTTAGATAGATGTCAGTGTATTGTGAGATGTTGAACTCCTAGGCAAGAGGTAAGACTTAAGTAAACGGGTTAGATAGATGTCAGTGTATTGTGAGATGTTGAACTCCTAGGCAAGAGGTAAGACTTAAGTAAACGGGTTAGATAGATGTCAGTGTATTGTGAGATGTTGAACTCCTAGGCAAGAGGTAAGACTTAAGTAAACGGGTTAGATAGATGTCAGTGTATTGTGAGATGTTGAACTCCTAGGCAAGAGGTAAGACTTAAGTAAACGGGTTAGAAAGATGTCAGTGTATTGTGAGATGTTGAACTCCTAGGCAAGAGGTAAGACTTAAGTAAACGGGTTAGATAGATGTCAGTGTATTGTGAGATGTTGAACTCCTAGGCAAGAGGTAAGACTTAAGTAAACGGGTTAGATAGATGTCAGTGTATTGTGAGATGTTGAACTCCTAGGCAAGAGGTAAGACTTAAGTAAACGGGTTAGATAGATGTCAGTGTATTGTGAGATGTTGAACTCCTAGGCAAGAGGTAAGACTTAAGTAAACGGGTTAGATAGATGTCAGTGTATTGTGAGATGTTGAACTCCTAGGCAAGAGGTAAGACTTAAGTAAACGGGTTAGATAGATGTCAGTGTATTGTGAGATGTTGAACTCCTAGGCAAGAGGTAAGACTTAAGTAAACGGGTTAGATAGATGTCAGTGTATTGTGAGATGTTGAACTCCTAGGCAAGAGGTAAGACTTAAGTAAACGGGTTAGATAGATGTCAGTGTATTGTGAGATGTTGAACTCCTAGGCAAGAGGTAAGACTTAAGTAAACGGGTTAGATAGATGTCAGTGTGTTGTGAGATGTTGAACTCCTAGGCAAGAGGTAAGACTTAAGTAAACGGGTTAGATAGATGTCAGTGTGTTGTGAGATGTTGAACTCCTAGGCAAGAGGTAAGACTTAAGTAAACGGGTTAGATAGATGTCAGTGTGTTGTGAGATGTTGAACTCCTAGGCAAGAGGTAAGACTTAAGTAAACGGGTTAGATAGATGTCAGTGTATTGTGAGATGTTGAACTCCTAGGCAAGAGGTAAGACTTAAGTAAACGGGTTAGATAGATGTCAGTGTATTGTGAGATGTTGAACTCCTAGGCAAGAGGTAAGACTTAAGTAAACGGGTTAGATAGATGTCAGTGTATTGTGAGATGTTGAACTCCTAGGCAAGAGGTAAGACTTAAGTAAACGGGTTAGATAGATGTCAGTGTATTGTGAGATGTTGAACTCCTAGGCAAGAGGTAAGACTTAAGTAAACGGGTTAGATAGATGTCAGTGTGTTGTGAGATGTTGAACTCCTAGGCAAGAGGTAAGACTTAAGTAAACGGGTTAGATAGATGTCAGTGTGTTGTGAGATGTTGAACTCCTAGGCAAGAGGTAAGACTTAAGTAAACGGGTTAGATAGATGTCAGTGTGTTGTGAGATGTTGAACTCCTAGGCAAGAGGTAAGACTTAAGTAAACGGGTTAGATAGATGTCAGTGTGTTGTGAGATGTGCATAATGAGGAGCAACCTGTAAGGAAATGACCGGTTTGGTTCTGCACTCTGTGATACGTTGTCATGGAAAATCTGCACCTGTATATCAAGTATTTTAACTTAACAACTCATCCAACCAGTACAGGCTAGTTACTATTAAGTATTATTTCAGATACAAAGCCACTGTAGTCAACGACCCGATGTACGAAACAGAGGCAGTTAGATCGAGAAATGATCTCAAAGAGCTGCAGATGTATATTCTAAATCTAAGTTTAAAATATTTTGACCATCGCCATTAAAGAACGAAATCTGGACCCAAATTATTTTAATTATTGACAGGGAGTTTATATATTTGTAAGGTTGTTGAACAATACGTATTATTATAATTATACTGTTTTTTAACAATTCGAAAAAGAAATCGCACCGTATTTAACACTTTAAAAATTAACCAAAATTCTCGTAACCATCTATCAGTGTTTAATTTCTCAGACGGTATATCGTCCATATCAAATCTCTGAACGTGTACGTGTATCTAAAGAGATAAAAGCGTGAAGCGTAAGCTAGTGAACTTATTTTTTCTCCTGTATCTATATTATAAACTTGACGAAATCTCCCTGGAAACGGCGACATTTTTGACCATAAAAATGACCCTCTGGCATGATCAATTTCAGCTTGCAAATGGAGTTGAAAACTGTTGATTTTTAGCGAGGTTGGAGAAAAAAAGAAAAGGAATAGAACACAGCATTTTTAGAATTTTGATTTAGGCTTTAGATTTTTTATAATTAGCGCCGGAAAAGAGGAACAATTAGCGACAGAATAATGGCGTTATTTTAGCAAAAGTTAAGTGCGTCGTTGCGTAGCAACAGTAATATATTGTACGTACATGAGCTTAATTGAGCAAGCATAGATTAACAACGCGCGTTTACGTCATAATAATATCGGAATTTGTTCACATACAACCACACTCCTGGTATATATACTGAAACGTGAACGTGAAGAGTATCGTTTTCAATTCAACATGCCTGCTTTCTCCAAATTCATCAAACGACAGGGAGGATCTTAACAGCTGGTGGACACGGATGGGTACATCTACTCCAGAAAGAAGCCTAAAGATACAGCCATCTACTCTGCTTGGCGATGCCGGAAGAACAACCCTGCTACCAAGTGTTCCTGTCATGCCTACCTCATCCTGTCAGATAACTCCGTATCCTTTGGCTCCAAACCCCACAACTGTTGTAGACTATGCAGAGTGGACAAAGGGTCTTTGGATAGAAGGAAAGTGGTCACACTGGTCGAATGCGGTCACAGAGGCGACTTTTTGTATGACGAATTTGCAGACGTTATGGAACTAGATTAATAGTAGGTCAATCTAGTTAAATCTGAATAGAGTGTAGCTTCTGCAAGAAAATGTGTATGTGGAAGTGACAACTCAATAAACCACTCATTGATATGCAAATGGGGTGGGTATGTATCTCTCCGCCACAATTCATTGAGAGATGTGATAGCAGAGCTCTTAGAAACTGCTGGATGTAAAGATGTTACCACCGAACCTCTCCTTATCCCTGTCAATGGGAGAGAACTTCCTGCAGGGGCCAACAAAGCAGATGGAGCCAGGTTAGATGTTAGTGCTAGGAGTGCAGTATGGAACCCATTGGAAAGGGCATTTTTAGATGTAAGAGTTTTTCATGCTCAAGCTCCTTCCAATAAGGCTCTTGGATCTCCAATGAGTATGTACACTTAACGGGTGATACTCGTAGAATATCTGTCCAACTCGGCACGCGTCCTGGTAGGTTGTAAACCTACAACGTACGCGTACAGTACCATTGTTTTCTAGAGACTGAGATAATTTTCACAGTACCAAATTTGTCATACCTTTTTGGAATGATCAGTGAGTTTCGCCTAGTTGCCATATTTGATGGTGCACGGCTTTAGCAAGCAAAATTAGGTGTAAAAGTCGCGTAATTTGGCGAAATTCGTTGATTTTTGTCGTATTATTCTGTCATATCTTCGGTTCCTGAACATGAATCATGCTGAAAATTTGTCAGAACCTTCTAATCATACTTAACTACCGAACCTAATTTAGTTAGGAGAGATTGGCCTTGATTAAGAGGTCTAAAAATGATAAAATAGGTATAAATTCGTTGATAACTCAAATTCTGACCATCGAAATTGCTCAAACTAATTTAGGTTCAATAAAACATAAATGTTTACGTAAGCTGACCAAATTTCAATAAAATTGTTTTATGGGATCAAGTATTACAATTTTTTGATTGTTTCCGAAAAAATGTGCTGGCCGAAATACGAGTTTTAAAACCATGCAATGGTCAGCGCGCGCGTCTTACGGTCGATCGATGGCGCACGGCCTACTACAATGAAATTGAACATTTCGCGGAATTCCTCCAGACGGCTTTCGTCGGAGAAGCGTGTTATTTACTAGGTTAATATGCAAAAGCCAGGCCAACATTTTGTTTTGTGTCAGCCTAGCCGCGCTACTTAACCGCTCCTACTAAATCGCTCGCCCAAATTTTAAGAAAATTCTTGTGAAAAGGCCCTTTGGGTATGAAATTGATTTGAATAGGTGTATTTTTGGACGCTGATTCCGAATCACCCCCCATGACGTAGGATAAAAATGCTTCCCTGGAGAGTTATGGGCAAAAAACTGTTTTGGTCACGTGACAGGCTATACTAGTAAAACATGAATTCGATTGTTTAGGGCTCGAGTTAGGGTTAGGGTTGTGGTTGCTCTATCCAGAGCCCTTGTGCTTGCAGTAGCGCGCGCCCGCCTCACAACCGCGATACCAGGTTGCACCGAGACACGAGGTTCAGGTGTCATTTTGTAAATTACTTGATGGATATATGGATAATTCGGTAATTTTTGTAGAAAATTACAGTCACTGCCTCATATAGCGTTATGTCACGGCCAAGAATAAACGTACGTGCGCGCTTTAGAAACCCGCGCAAATTTTGAAGTAGTGAGTAGCTGCGGCGCGCTTTTATTTAAAAGCCTAACTTTACCTGAGGACCCCAGGCTATTATGTTCATTAACATAAAGATTTGGCGGAATGACAGGCTGAGCGCGGCCCAGTAAGCCTAACCCTCTACTGTGATCTCAACTCGATCTCTAACTGAAGCATATTCTAAAACCCTAACCCGAACGAGAAATTAGTACAACTTATTTATCTAGTCACTAGTCATATGACGTGATCAAAACATTATTTTCCCGATATCTTGCCAGCTGAAAGCATTTTATATATAATTATAATAACTGTATGTCAGTACACAAATTTATTCGAAAGCGTTTAGTACAAAAATATAATATTATTAGGCAAACAGATTTTACTCAGGGATCACAACAATTGCAAGCAACATAGCATTCATTAATAGTACTAAGTGCATGAATTCATGCAGTCAAGATTATATACGAGAAGAAAAACAAAATTTGTATTTACCACAAAATTATATTGCACAGTTATAGGCCCATGCCGATGCTCTTCATGGGACATGGAGTGCTGATCCTCATCAGTATTTATAAAGGCACATTTGTGTCATGTAACTAATAGAAAATTTGCATATCATTAACTGTTGTATGTATGTCTGTCTTTGCAGTTACGTGTATTATCAGTTAAATTGGTAGGATGGATTTGAGGACTATTTACCACATTAGACATTGTAGTTTAGTCAATTATCTTGATGTGTTACAGCCAAAAACTGTTATCATCAAGAGACTATCACGACTCTTGCTCAACAGATCCATTATAATCATTCTGATAATTGTTAAATATTGCTGCTTTAATTGTCGGCAAAAATGGTTCTGCATAAGCTTTTACTTTCTTAGAACTCCTGAAAAGCTGAAAATATAATTATTACCAAGTAAAATACTGTTGTGTCATGGGAATTTGAACTGAGTCACATATGATGTGTATTGCTTAAATTTATATTCCTTATCATATCATAAATCCTATACCTTATACTTGCAGGTGCTCACAGAGAAGGGTTTTTATTAAGTTATTTAATTGCAGTTCAAGATACAAAAATTACGTACCTTTTCTGTTGAATTGATATATTGTGTAACAATGTTAACGAGGAAGAATTTGTAAAGTCTGACTGCTGATGTAATCTTACTACTAACAACTTGTACACCTGTAATTAATTGGTGTCTGATTGATTTATCAAAGCAAGAAAATATGCTAATATGACTTAAAGGTGGCCATGTCGACCATTCTACAGCCTTCTTGTAATCCCTAAGTACCTGTCCCCATAACAATAAAATCAGATTTTATGGTTACAGTTGCTAGGACCATATTACATCATAATCATCATAGAACCTATTCAGCCGATTTTTATTGAATGTAAAATACAGTAAAGTTATTGAAATAAATTGAAAGCGTAAATTTACCCATGAATTGATTCAGTTTTTCTCTTCCATCTATTCTATTAGAACTTGAAATATGATATTCGACCACCAAAAGCCTGAATTGGGAAAGTATATCACGATTTTCTAAGGAAAGCACAAATTGAATTTGAATCTTCTCAGGAATTAAAAAATCGATTTAGATCTCATTATATCATTAATTGATGCATTCGGTGCCTACCGGTAATGAATGCAATTGTTATTCTCCAGGAATTTTAAGTCTTTAGCCAAGCTATTTTGAATATATGAAGTATCTCTACTTTCTGTAACCATCAGATGAGAGAAGCTCCTTGGCTGAACTACTTGACCTCCCCAACAAGACGAAAGGCCACTGAAATTGAGAAGAAAGTGCTTTGTAATGATAAAATAGCACCCATAGCATACATTTTAGTAGTATAAGACACAGTTATATATAATTTAATAAATAGAGCCCTCCATCAAAAATGAAACTCAGTCATAGTATAACTAACTTTTACTTTGATTAAAGTTTATATTATAGTAGCTTAGATATCACAGAAAGAAAAATGCATAATGATTAAAACAATAACGAATACCTACATTTGTGAGCCATCAATCGTTGAACTCATCATGTTGTAGATACTACTGCTATAAGCATCTCTTTGATGATTAATATTTTCTATGATTACTATATTGATCAATGGTTGAAACTTCATTACCTGGAAAAATAATTTTTTAGCCATTTTTATCAGTCTATTGACATCAATTTGGTGTTTACACAGATAAAGCTAAAGAATGCACCATTGATGTATAAATCCATTATCGATTCTAAATTTGCATAGCACAAAAGGAAGCTGAAGTATTGCACTCACTCTGACACGAAACAAGCCTAGGAAACGAATCAGACTGGATCCCTTGTTAGCATGGTTAAAATTATAGTACTCTTGAAATATTTTGAGTAGATTCTTATACTCTGTCTGAAATAGTTGGATTGTACTACACTTAATGATCTTAACCAATAAGCTATACTCAAGGAAATGAGGGGCATATATCTCCTCTCTGTATTCACCTTGCTGTATTTAGCATATATGCTAAATTAAGTTTTACTTTCAATGAGCTATCATCAATAATTTCTGGTTTACAGTATCTTACCCGAGTTAAACTTTTGATAATGTACTTTTGATCTTCTGTCAGAAAAAATACACTTCCTTTACTTCCAAAATTTATTTGCTCTTGTCCAAATCCTCTTTCAAACGAATCAATGTATTTCTGAAGTAATAATATGGTTAAAATGGTAATGTACGATATATGTATTGACAGAATACAAGTTGAGTAAAAGGCCAAATAAATGTGCTCATGGTAATTTGTGATCAGCTTTTAAATTACAACTGTTGAAGTTCATTTTATTAATACAAAAATCCGGTTATTTGTGAGTCAAATTGACTGGATTGAAGTACCTTTAACTTACCTTAGAATCAATCTTCCACACAGCTCCCCGCAAGATTTCAAAATGACCCGGATACACCTCAGTACACTCAATGTTAGTATCTTGAAGCTTGATCTTTTTGAATTGGTCTAGATCTTGTGGTCGGTCCACATCCAATTTGTTCTTGAGTAGCTCAACTATAGTTGTCCTCATGAACATAATTATCCTGTTTTTGAAATATATTTCTGCACTGGGATGTATCTTTTCACTTTCATTCGATACAAGACTTGTAATGCTGCTGTAATTTCTTGATTGAGCTGAGTTACTGGGTGATATCTGGAATATAAGTCTCTTTATCTTACCATTAAACGAATTATTGTTATACTAATTTACTGAACTGCTAAATATAATATACTAATGTCAATGTTGGAAAAAGTTGCTCTCAGTTGACTAAAAACAGTTTGGCTAACCTCAACATCATAGTCAACAGATGTTTGGAATCTGGCACACAATTGCCACATGTATATATCAAGCAGGACTCTTGTTGATGACACTAGATTTACTATCAAAAGGATGTCATTACAGTACTTTGATTTCAAGACATCGGAGTCAAACCTGTTGGTTTTTGAAAGTTTATACAAGTACCAATACACAAATGAAAAAAGTAACAATTACCACAACTGGTAAAAATTAGTCGCACTTTTAATTTTAATTACAAAGTAGGCGTAGTTGATTTATTGTGTAAATGATACAGACTTCATGAACACCAGTACAAACTTTGATATGAGCTGGAATAGCTTTTGGGGAAAAGTGAACAATGAGAATAGTCCTATTATCAATAACAGCTGACTGAAAAGAAGACGTTACGGTTTCGAAAGTTGAAACTGAAGTGTGTACTGTGTATATTCCATTACATGCAGAAAGCAAATCATATAAGTTATAACTATCCAATTAGGCAACTTCAAAAAGCACTATAAAGATATAAAATCCCTACTTCATGTGATGACATTCAAACCAGAGTTTCATTTTCCTGAACTGCAATCCTATTATCATTGCAGCAACCCATATGAGTAGAAAAGCTACGGTAATTGTTGTCATGAATCCTGTTGAATAAATATTTAAAACACTAAACTGTAAATAGTTGATATGCCAAGCAATGCTTAATAAGAAATATAATAGTCAAAATATTATTTAAAAAAGATTAAAATTTCACACCTGAGTAAATGATGCGATCAAAATCTGAATCCGCAGTTCCGTTCACTTTTTCTTTGAAGCATGTTAAACTGTATCCGTATCTGTAATTCTTGCGATACTCTCTCCCAAGCTGGCCCTGAAGGAGATTTTACATTTATAAAGCGAAATGGTCACTGATGTGAATATGATACTATGAAAGTATAAAGATCAGAAAGTATCATTACGGGTATCGGCCTTACAAAATGACAGGCCTCACAAAATGACAGCCCACATAGACCATGCTGTAGCTTAGGTTCCTTATACATTGAACCCTATTCCTTTTACTGTATGAAAGAAAAAGCATTAATTAACACTTCCCAAGGAATGATAATGACATAGAATCTATATTTCTTACATAAATATGGACGTTTTTGCTGTTCAGTCATTGCCCCGCCTAACTGTTACCCAGAATGGAGACCAAAGTTTTGAATTTAACCCCAGAAAACCAGGTACTACCATGACTTATGTCAATCAAAGACTACTCTGGTCAAATAAAAAAACTGATTTAGTGACTTTGGTAGAAGAAATGACAAAAAAATGACCTAGCCTCACAAAATGACAGTGTTATGCCTCACAAAATGACAGTTTTATTTTATGATACAAAGATGGCATATTTATATTGGATGCCCCTTGCCTAATTATTGGTATTCTTAAACCCAGTAAGCTCATGATGAGCCTAAATGTGTTTGTTTGATCATCAATTTTGATCAAAATGCCTCACAAAATGACACCGAAAAGCCTTACAAAATGACAATGTTTCAGATTGAATTATTTTCATCATCTAAAATGGATCAGAGACAGTCAATACAAGAAGGAGTTAAAAATAATCATAATCTGACAGTTAACAATCAAGTAGCATTAAAAAAGTGCAGTTCTGATATCAAAACTTTGATTTCAAACTCTTTGGTTTCAAACTCTGATTTCAAAACTCAACGAAATAAAGCTTCTATTTTGTGAAAGCAGAGAGTAATAACAACTCCTAAAACATGTCAAACGTTAACTAAACACTGAAAAGTGATCTATCCAGTCATAGAAAATATCAAATATAACCAAATACTGTGTTCAAGTATGAAAACAAAAAATGATTTTTACGCCTCACAAAATGACATTTTTTTAATTTTTTCAAAGTATAAAAAATGTTCCTTTTTAAATATATTTTGGTAAAAACAGAACTGGTATAATATAAACAACATATATATCTAACAGTAAGACACGTGAAAGAATAATGAAACTTTTTCCCAAATCAGATTTGAAGTAATGCCGTTTTGGGTTGTCATTTTGTAAGGCACTATCTCACGCGAAATTGCCCAACTTTTTTTAATCATCCTTTTTCCTGTAAAAGCTATTCTAATCTTCAATCTATTATATTTATCTAACTGTCCTAGGTGAAATCAAATTTCTATAGGCTGCTGTTAAAAAATGACGGCCGTGACGAAATTGTCATTTTGTAAGGCATGTTTTTTTGGAAGATTTCAAAGATGACAATTTTTATCGCAAAATTTACGGTTTTTCAATCAAATCAACCCCCGGGAAGAAAAATATACCTGTTGAACTACCTATCTGGATAATAAAACATGAACAAAACTCATTTTTGTGCATTTCAGAGCCATCTCCTTTTTCGTGTCATTTTGTAAGGCCGATACCCGTACTTTATTGCAATAGCTTGCATTAAAGTATGCAAAATTCTTACCTCTAAGATTTTAGTCGTGTAGTACCAGTCTAACAGAAGGCCGACCACTGCAACATACACAACCGACACTACTATCATGTTCCTTAAGGATGGAAATTTGTGTGATTGGCGACGTTAACGGTTAATACAATAAATGTCGAAGAATAAAGAATAGGTGGACAATTAATAGTAGTAACCAATCAAGTAGTACTTATTGGTTTGATGATATTTTATTTTACTAACAGATCCAGTGAATTTATCAATTTACCTCATCTTGAATTGTATCCTATTGTTGAATGGCATCATCAAGTATTTGAATATTACAACCACCACTATCACCTCCCATATATCTGACAAATATAATGTTCTTGTACAGGAATACAATCTTTATTTGATATATCATATTTTTTCCCGATCCATGACTCTAAGTGCCGAAGGCACAAAAGAGTCAAGGACAAGGGTTAGCGATCGAGGTTTTTTTTTGTATATGGTAGCTTGCGACCGTGCGTGCGTGCGTGCGTGCGTACGTGCCCTCGCCCCCAGTCTAGTTATCGCCCACGTGTCTGCCTGCGCAAAGTTATTTTGCGCGATCATCTGAATTAAACAATTGTTGGCGCGCGGTGCTGAAATGTTCAAGTACATTGTTAATTTCACCATGTATGCATCCCGCTAGGGACAAATTGATAGCATTGTATTATTATTTTGAGTTAGTATTACTATTTTGCACAAATCCGTGCCAGGTTGCATAAACAATAAACATATGGTTACATAGAAATATACACGATTTTCAAATTCAATATAGAATTATATCAACTGGGCGGCGCTCGGCCTGTCACTCCGCCATATCTGCATGCTTATAAACCGCAAAGACTGGGGTCCCCAGGTGGTATGGAATATGATAAAATACTTCATCCCGGATCGGGAAATTGAGCGGCCATCCACAAAAGAAAAGCGGCCGCATTTCTTGTTTACCATGCTATGGAGTCTATTTGTGTTAATACTATTATTCTTTGAATGTATAAATTACCGTACAGTGGAACTTCTTACCTCGCCATTCATGGGACAGATTGTTGATGTAAAAACTAATTTCGTTGAGTACATGGAAATCATCGTGTGTCGATACTCGTAAGCTACATTGTATAAAAAGTATGATCATTCTCAGAATGTCTCCAAGAACAATCATATTAAACTGAAAATATTGCCAGTCAAAAATTTATGTTTTCGATAGAAAAATACCCTACGGACTTTTTCAATATGTCCACCAGGTTTAGATTTTCACTTGAAGTAATTTTGTAGTGTTGAAAGTATTGAATTTGAAGCTGTATGAAATATATACCACGGTTTTAAATAATATACTAGAAAGCCCGTGGTAACAGGGACGAAGCTAGTAGTATTCTTTGTAATAAAGTTTTAATCGCATCAAAAAATATCCATCTCAACCGAAGATACAGCCGATTTAAACAAAAACACTTTAAACACAACGTAATTACCACAAAACCGATCAAAATGACGTTAAAACAATCTTTGCACGTGCATGTGTGCATAAAAACACCGTTGCTATTGAACCTTTTGGTTGTTACCTAAATTCCTATTTTTCATCTAATTTGCACGTGGGCGGTCGTACAGTGTACAGAATTTTCTGAATTATAATAGAGATAATAAAGTGACATTAGGAGAATATATTGATAAGTTTATCTCACCTGCAATCTTGGCCACCCTGCTTTGCGTTTTTGCCAGTGTAACAAGATATAGATAAAACAAGGTAGCACCATCCATCTCTCTATGTACAGTATCCATACCAGCACTTTCTCTCGTGTGTCACTTGATGTATCATTAGACTTCAAGTTCGTTTTCCATTCTTCCATAACCTTCTCGATAAGATAAAATGTTAGTTTGTAATTCAATAAATGTTTGCTTAATTAATAATTACATCTTCTATTTAGCTTATATGGCTGCTGATTTATGGACAAAAGTAATGCACTGCTGATTTTCCTTCATTCACTATTATTGTTACAATCCATTAAATCCCAGTGCTTGAATTCTCCATCAATTGAAAACTCCAGAGAAATTACAGAAGAGATCATTAATGCGGGGCAAGAAGTGGATATTGAATGTAAAACAGGATACAATCTTATTGGAGACAGTTCATTGACTTGCACTCTTGATGACAACGAAGACTATCTTTGGAAAGGAACAAATTTTCCTCTGTGTATCGAAAACAGCTGGAATAAAGTTGAACTAAACCTGACTCAGACTGTCCAATTATTCCAGTTTGATCCTCTTACACAAGTCATTCAATTACGATTCATTGAAAATATTCTACCTCCTACCTTTACGTTGTGGTGCAATATGAATTTTCATGTTGCTGGTGATTCTCGGTTTGTTCATTCTTTTTCAAGGATTTTATTTAATTTTGAAAAATCAAAGATCGTTGACAGTGTTGTAGAGTATGGCAGCAACAATGTGATAAAAAACGGTGATCAGAATCCATGTCAATTCTGCTTGGATTTCTCAGTACCTAATGAAAGGGTTCCTGAAGTGGTGACTTATCACTTTCCGGACGAAATCTACTATGACGGCATCCTTGGTGGACCTATTTGCCAGAAAGGCATTTGGAATAAATGGACTGAACTGATGTCTGGTGATAGCATTAAAAGTTTTAGTCACCAATGTTTCTTCAAAGATGTGGAATCTGAAAAAGAAGAAAATCAAGAGGCATTCACTTTGTGGATAAGAATATTGCCCATTGAAAATTCTGATCTTTATTGTGACTCGGGGCCGGACATTGAGAATGCTTTTGTCGAATTGGCTAAATTCCCTATCCGCATTGGAACAGTTGTAACGGTCGAGTGCACTGATGGTTACGATCAATCTGGTAGTACAGTAGGAACTTGCAGTGGATTTAAGAATAAATACAAATTCAGCATACAACCTCAATGCACCACGAAAGAAAGCTTTGAAAAAGATGAAGGCTTTGAAAAAGATGAAAATGTTAAATATGATGAACAAAATAAGAAAATAGAGCTAGAGGAAGCAAAGATTATGAGAAAACAGCATGCCAAAACCAAAATAATAGGAAATGATAATGAAGGCAATGACGATCTAGCTTGGCATATCAGCATGATTTTATACTGTTCTCTCTTTTCAATGTCAGTCTATTGTGCAGTACTTATGAAACAGCTGAATTACTTCAAACTTATGACTGCATGGATAAGTCCGTATTTGACTTCATGTGTAAGACTTATGAGACTTTCATGTGTAAGACTTATGAGACTTTCAAGAGATTCTCGTGAAACAGATTAGCAATAATGAACTTTTTCCTATTTTCTTGTAATTTTTCATTCACAAGATTAATCCGTTTGTCATCAAATCTATGCATAGCGTGTTAAACATTATAGAATAATAACTGTGAAGTTTAAGGATATGTGTCGCTGACATGCGTTTTTCCGTTATATGTATGACACTATGATTGACTAAGCAACATGAATATGATATTATTCGTTATAAACTATTTTTCATGTTAATCTTGTTTTCAGATCCTTTGCTATCATTTTCTCAACGAAACACTAAACATTCATCAGACTAACTAAAATTTTTGACCTATTATATGATTAATTTATGATTGCTAATATTCATCGACTTACGCCATTATTTTCTTTCCTCAATTCATCAAGTTTTGCATATTGTCCAAAATTCATTTCAAGTTATTAATAACACAGTTCACTCACATTTTCAGCTCACGATTTCATGAAATACACAAAGGCCTCCTTTTAATGATGCTGCTGCAAGATTATCAGATACTAAAAAAGACTAAGCAAGATAAGAGGGTCTATGCTTCAATTTATATCACATTGTTTCCTTCACATTTACTTGCTATCTGCCGTGATCGATCACACATTCTCACGATGCATGGAAGGCCCCAAAATACCCAACATGAATGCAAACACTATAACACTACCCGCTATAAGAAATACCGAAGTTAAGTTGGAATGTACTGACGGATACCAGTTGTTTGGTAGCTCTGTTCTAACCTGTGTCACAGAGGATGAACATGAATTTAAGTGGCAGGGTAAACTTGCTCCTGTTTGTGTGGCCAGCAACTGGAGAACAACGAAATTTATCAATATGACTGTACCATTTAATCCTGAGCTGCAAATTATTCAGCTGATGTTACATGAGCATCGAATACCGGAATGTGATATTGTTGGATTTAATGTTGATTTTGGAGACCTGGTTTACTCTGTTGCTTGGGTAGAAATCAGGTACAATTATGCTAACAATACTTTAGAGGATAGCTTTTTAAAGTATAGATTCGCTAAGACTAAATGTCCCACTTGCTATGATTTCTCGCTGCCCATTAACCGCATTGTAGATGTTGTTACCTTGGACATGACTAATACAGAAAACATAGCATTTTATGATGGAATCGCAGGAAAAGAGAGATGTTTTCATGAAAGACGTCAACTGGATAAGGTAATGACCAGTGGAGCCGTCCGAGAGGTATACTTTCAACATTATTCAAATTGTAATGGGAACAGCGAAAACGAAGGCCTATCGTTTGCTTACAGAATTCTCCCTAGGAAGAGCCCAGAATTGCTCTGTACTCAGCCTCCTCATGTTGCAAACATGGTGAAAATAAATTTTTCGCAACCTCTTGAAATGGGGATTCCTGTGGAAATTATGTGTCAACCTGGATATGAACTAGTTGGGTACAGCTTAGCATATTGTAAAGGTTCGGGAGATCAATACAACTTCCCAAAGAACAAGCCACTTTGCAAATATAAAGACGATTGCCAAATTGATTCAGATGACCGAAGGTGTCAACAGCCAGAGAAAAGGTATGCTAGGAATGTGAAAAGGGCAGATGTCTTAGAATCTCTTGGTGGGAATGTTTTAAGTGATTCCGTTAAAGATGTTAAAATTAGCCCAAATTGGGTTTTGGTTATCGTTTTGGGTGTTGCAAATTTCCTGGTTGGTATTCTCCTTACTTTTTTGTTACGGAAAAAATTACGACTCATATCAGGACTTCGTTCCATGTCAGAAAGAGTCCGTCTTCTCGACAGAAATCAAGATGAAGACAGTTCTGACCAAGAAATAATATATTCTAATAATAATAAACAAAGCAAAAAAGCAAAAAAGAAGGGGAACAAAAAGGGAGCGCCGCCACCAGCACCACCTGTGCCTCCAGCACCAACTCTGCCAGGCGCGCCTGGAATTGAAAAAGCTGGGTCTTCCTATTCTCCAACTGCATCTGGAATCAAACTTGGAAATTCTCCAAAAACATCTAATGAGTTACTGCTTGAAGCATTGAAAGGAAGTAGTTATGGGGGAGGTAGTTCACCTGATAAAAAAAGAGTGCCCGCACCGACTGTGATGGGTGATGGCTCAAACAAAAAAAGGATACCCTCACCGGTGAGTGATGGGGCACCACCAGCACCGCCTTTTGAAAAAAGTAAAATCAAATGGCCCTGGTCTTCACGATCACCAGCACCACTCTCACCTTCACCAAGGGAAAAGACAAAAAAGAAAGGGAACAAAAAGGGAGCACCGCCACCAGGACCACCAGCACTCCCTGCACCTCCAGCACCACTTGCGCCTCCAGCACCACCAGCACCGCTTGCGCTTCCAGCACCACAAGCACCGCCTGCACCTCCAGCACCTCCTCCGCCTCCGGCACCACCTCCACCAGGTACACCTAAAATTAAAAAAGCTGGGTATTCTAATTCTCCAAAAACCCCTCCTAATCCACCTTCTGCACCTGGAATCAAAACACCACAATCACCTCCAACACCACCACCACGACCTAAACCATGACTCCTTCTATAGTTCTACTTTAAATTTATTACATGGAACCATTGCATAAAGTTATGCTGCATCATGACATTTTTTAGAAGTCGTCCAAAGCTTACTGCTGTATAAAATAATTTTTGATATATTGTTGATTATTTTCTGTATTTCGCAACTGTCTCTGTTCTTTTTGTATTTCGAACAAATTACAGTAAATTTTAGTAAATTTTAGTTCTAATTTAAACAAATGTAACACATCACTCAGCTGTAACTTGTTTAGATTCTAAAACCATTATTAATCAAACTATTTTCAAAGACTCTATGAATATACCCAAACTGAGGTAACTGCAATTCGGAGAGCAAGAATGGGCGGCGGATGTTCAAAACAATCTGTGAGAATTTGTCTGTTTCTCTAGTATCAAATATGTTCTGAAAAATCGTTTCATTCTAAGATAGGCTTTAAATATTAATACAATAATTAATCACATACCGAACATACATCAGCTTTATCTTTCTTTGTATGCATAAAATTGCTAGTTATAGTGGTACCCACACAAACTTAGATGGGATTAAAAAGCTAGATAGATTTAGTTCTTTCACGTCCAATTTCTATATTGACTACTTTTCAGTATGTGAAAGACCAAGGAAATGTTAATACATTTAAACCTTCTGAGAGTCCAAAGGAAGAGAATAAAACTATACAGGTTCGCGTTCTTATCTTTATTTTGATTACTGCGAAAAGAAATAAAATATTTCATGATTTGTTCCTATCACATTGATAAATTGCAAATACTACATTTTATTAAGTCTCTGAATTTTCTCGTTTAGGAGGAGAACAAGGAGGTAAAGAATGCAAATGCGGGAGAAGAAGTCGCTGAAATTGCACGTGTATATTCTATGAGAAGCACGATGCTACTTAGTGACTACCTTGACCGTGTAACCTACAAATTGGAGGTTTAAATTACCAAGAATAATGCAAAATATTTTTCGACATTTTACACCAAAATCGTCTTGACACGCAATTATTTTTGGTAGTCCCAGCCCCCGAGGGCAAAGTTTCTAATTAGTAAATACCCCTTTGGCGAGTATAAAATCATTTACTGAAAAACCATGATTTCATCGTTAATAATTACGTCAAATTGTTAAAGTTTGACCGAGTAAAATTAAAAGCAAAGCCGACGTAAAGTTTAAGTTTCTGAATACTCAAGTTTCCGAAGTTAAACAAAAAATGCATTATCACGTGCTTCCCGATTAGGTCACGTGCTTCCCGATTAGGACACGTGCTTCCCGATTAGGTCACTGCGGTGTGTAGTATGCACACTTGCACTCGATATCAAAAGCAGTAGTACTAAGCTTTTGTTTCCGATTGACAATCATTTGTTCACTATAAATATACTATGTTTATACTTACTCTTAATCATTTCTTTATCAAATTTCTGGTTTCCGTGATTGAGATTTATTGTTAGACATATTTTATGTAAAGTTAGACTATACGTAAGTCGTATTTAAATGTTGTCATGGCCAACATTTTCCAATACGGGGAAGTCTACAAGACCTTGCTCGCTCGAATTAGACCTTAAAATTATTTTTAAATAGTAGATAATTAATGTGGACTTTGCAGTTACTTTGAACCAAATTCAAGTCTCTACGACTTACAGGAGCCGAGAAACAAAACTTCCAAATAATTGCCTAAAGGATATTAGAAATTTCGCCCTCTAGGGTTGGAACTACCGATAAAAATTTGGTGTAGAATGACCTTATGAATGACCCTTTACATAAGTTAAACTATAATTTAAGTAAAATATATAGGCAAATAGCAAAAACAAATAATATTAGGCAAAACGCTATACAACGAGTTTTAATATGTATAATTAATTTCAACTCTTACTATAAATATAATATATAATATCTCAAGTTGTCAATTTTCTTTAACTCAATCAATTCAGATTGCAGAGAATGTGAAAGAAGAACCGAAACCCAAACTCGGAATATCAGACACAACATTGGATGAAAATGACGATGCATATGAAATTGCAGATAAAATTACTAGCCGGCTTCTTAGAAAGTACCTTAGAAACGAAATGAAATTGGTTAAGCATGAATTTGATATAAATACGACATTATGACGTCCTTTTAGCAAACAATTCTAAAGCTTTCTTAATTTAAATTTTATGTTGTGTATATTTGTGTCATACCCAGTCTGGAACATATCTGTACCCGCGACCGTTTTATTTTTACTTCATTTCGTAATATTTTATCGATGTTTCGCCAGATTTCATATTTATATAATATTTTCGCTTGGTCTAATGTTTATAAAATTCGTGTTTTGATAACTTATCTGTGGAATTATGATTGTGTCAGTTTATTTAAAATGCTATGAATGAGATTTTATATTTATTATTTAAATAACTTACATCATTACCTGGATTTTGATATTTAATAGTGTTTCACTGGTTAAGATTTAACCCTTCTTCAAGACGACCATCTTGATAAATCTTCACTTGCTCGTTGTGAAGAAAATCATTGCACCCAAAATCTTACTGATATCTCACAAGGCCTTGCTAGAATTAGCACCAACTTATTACAGCTCTTTTAGATCTCATACTGATAATAATTATTGTTAATAGCTGAAAGTTTGTAGCATGTAAAAGACATTGTTACTATAAGCTGCAAGGGAAAGCAATGGGCTGTGGGGCATCAACTGAGGCACAGCAGCAGGTGCAGTGCGTCAAAATATCATCATTTCGTTTGAAATGCAGCGAATGAAAAATTGAATCGAGTCTCTAAAGTTTACTTTCAAAATTAAAAAACATGTAATCAGTTTTAAATGAATGTAAATTGTAAATCTAAAGAATTCATGATAAGTCTAATTTGACGATTATCCGAAAACTCCTTCAATAAAGCATTAAATCAGGTAGTCGGTTCATACGACAAAACTGGTGGACAGCAGCCAGCGGACAAAAGCAAAAACGGTAAAGCTGACAATCATGTGAGTTCATAGGTAGCGAGTAGCGAGATAACAATATCCTTGCAGTAACCCGACACTCAGCTTATCATTTATTGAAGTTGAATATTCTGAAACATGTAATTCCAATCGCTGTTATGGGCAGAAAATACGTTTTAATTTGATGACTAACTGATTGACACTCTGCCAGCGACTTGAAATACACAGGCCTCATTTATTTATATTATACCTGATGGTTTTGTCTGATAACAAAGTTAATCATCCCCTAAAAGGTCATGGCAGAGTTCTGAGGCCTGTGTTAATCTGTAATTAAATTAAACAAAATTTTGACTGTATTTTTAACTGTATTTAAATTCTAACTCTATAATTAGGACAAATTCATGACGTTCAGAATGCATTTTAATACTTACGACTCTTATGATTCTAGATTAACCAGGTCATTATTCAGAATTTATCAGGATAAGAAGAAAAAAGAGAAGAAAGCCAGAAAAGGATCAGATAGCAGTTCCAGCAGTTCTAGCAGTAGTTCAGATGACTCCTCCTCAGATGAAGAAGACGCTGGTGGGGATGATGTGATCACAAGGACGCTACTAAAAGAGTATCTTGAAAGAGAGATCAACATGCTGACGCTAGAGCTTACTCAACCCGAGGTTAGTTACTGATTGTTGTTCGATAAGTTTTTGAATTCGTGCTGAGTTTTGGGTTCTCACAGATGAATGATGATTCAGCGATGATTGTTTAGCTGGATCTTAGGTTTCTACTGTTAAAATCATACCAGTAGTTCAACCACAGTATGTACAATATTGTGGTGAAATGGAGATGAATATGTTGCATGTTGTGATTTATTGTGACGTAGTGTAGTATCTCAGTAGTCACATTATATTCTAATGATTATCAGCTTACTTGAATATTCGCACAGGTTTTACTGAAACAGCTATTAGAACAAAAAGATCAGGCAACAGGACGATTGGTAAAAAGTTCAATGATACTCAGTGAACAGAGGCAAGCTTGGTAAGTCATAAATATTATCATTACGTGGAATGTGGAATTTTATGTTACATACCTCTAAAACATTAATTAATTATTCTTATTCTTCCGAAACTTCCCTACTTTTTTGTTAAGTGAATAAATTGGTTAAGAGATAAGTGGTTGACAAAAATGGTATTTTTGCAGCATGAAGGAGTATAAAGATCTAACGAATCTGCAGCAACTAATTCAACAGAAGCAAACAGTGAATCAGAGTACTTGGGACACCGAGCAGAAAGAATATGTCGAAGGTTTATTTAAATTCAGTTATAATTAAATATTGTACGTGATTTGATGGAGTAAATATCAACCAAACTTCTATTAACAAGGAAGCACCTTATTCTATAAAATGTCATGAGTTTATAATGTTATCTCTTTCCTACAGCATACAACAAGCACAAGCAGGTAGAGCAAGAGCACGATACATTAGAAAAACAAAGTCGGGATATTGACGAAAAGATAAAAGTTACTAGTGATCACGTGCAACGGTTACTGAAACTCAGAAAAAGACAGGTACTTAAATCCTATTTATTCAGTAGCTACTGCTGGCTGTAAAGTGTAAATAGCGTTATTTATAGCTAAATTACAAGACTAAAATTGGCTAAATTCGAGTATTTTACCTTTTTATGGGTAACTTATTGACGGTCTTATTAGAAGGGAGTGTTTTTTAGAAAGATCTGAAAAGGCCTACTGCAATTTATAGCAAGCCGGTTAATTTTTCACTAATACTACATTAAAGTCATCATACAGTAACCAGTATGAATAAGTAGTAAGTACCAGCTCAACACTGTTTACTCTCTAAATCAATTTCCTGTTTACCCGGGCCCGGTGTTAGATTACAAAGTATGAGCTGCCATTTCCAAGATCTTATTTCTTATCTTATTTGCAGGATCACATTCTGATAAAAGCGTTCGGTGGAAGTTATGGTAGTGAAAAGGAAGCGTCTATTGAGGAATATGTGGATAAGATGAAGGAATTCAGGAAAAACATCCTCAACACTAAAGCTCAGTGAGTATTTACTACTTATATTTTTTTATTTGAAAATTCAATTAATCATCATATATATAAATCAAGCGTTACATTTCAGCCATGCAAAATTACAATGACATATTTTGATATACTAAATGGTAAATGGTACTGCAATATAAGTTGCTTAATGTTTGGCCGGATGACAACTAACGAGAAAAATAAACTTGATTATATAATAATTAATTCGGCTGAACCAACACATAGCAAGAGCCACATTAACGTTGGGGCCGTCAAAATATGTATAATATGGTGGAATTAGAAAATTATCTTAGAACACAGGGCAAAGAATCCAACCATTCCCCGTTTTCACTGCTTTCACTGCTTTCACTTTCAGGTGGGCAAGAGGTCTGGATTTCACGAAGATGGCAAACACACAGTACTGGCGCGCGGTCCAAGTATGGACCAACATCCTGACCCACAAGTTGCCCCACGTGCGGTGGCAGTACTGCGCGTATGTTGCTAACTACCTTCATGCCGCCTACAGTAACAGTAACCAGGCTGTCAACTGTATGAAAGGTGAGCACGTCTTCTAAGAAGTTACAAGATATTTCCTTGTGTTTCAGTTCATATTAGATTTAATGAAAGAACTTACGAGATATTTCCTTGTGTTTCAGTTCATATTAGATTTAATGTAAGAACTTACGAGATATTTCCTTGTGTTTCACTCCATATTGGATTTTATTAACTGAAATTTTCTTCCCCCGGTAGCTCACGCCCAGATACCGTATTTTACTGCAAAGATGTTCCAAGAAGTTGACTTATCTCGACGTAATTCCTACACTGCGTGTCAGCCTCGCTTCCATGCTACCTTCTTACAAGTAGGTCTCTTGATAAGTTGTTATCGAACTGTTAAAATGTAATGCGGAGAAATCGGAATTATTTACAATGTTTTATTTTAGTATATATATCGACTTAAATAATGATAAATACAATTAATATTAATATTGCATTATTTATTACTACCGTTACCTGGCCGATCCTAATGTTCACCCTTTTATATACTTTGCGCAATAATCATGCGTTGAATGAGGCGTACATCACAACTACCATTGGCATCTTTTATGTGCCATTATGTTTATTTTCATGTTTATTTTTATTCATGCATAACTTAAAAACTAAACTACAACGTTAAACCTTTCAGTGGTTGTGGTACTACCAGCAGAATGCGGCTTATCTCGAGAAATGGATCACAAAGACACTTGCTCAAACCATCGAGGGGGATCTTATCAAGGTAGATACTTATTAGTGTATATTAATTATTGTTTATAAACACTGGTTCGTTGGGTTATAAACACTCCAAGAGATCAAATCGAATTAATTTTCATAACCCGTAATTTAATCACGATTTAACGCTAATCATCATCATCATTGACCATCATTAAATATTTATCAGGTGATGGTGCGGTGTACCGTTTGTACACCCCAGTTTATATCTCCCATTTCCAGGTTAATGGCTGCCTCACGGTTGCTGAAGCCGATTTGAGGGCTGAGCGAAAGCGTCTTATTATTCAGAAAGTCAAAGCGAAATTCGGTGATGATGCTCATAGCGAAGTGGCAGAACAGGTCAGAGCTTCTTTATTTCTAGATACAAAATCTTTCATTACCGCATATAAGTGAGTAGCTAGCTGCTGAACATTTTCAATAGTTGATACACATGTACACTAGCAGATGATTTTAAGAACAAACCTTAAAAATGATCTGTCCTTCCTGATTTAGCAAGTTACATCAGCTGTGTAAGTAACATCAGCTGTGTAAGTTACATCAGCTGTGTAAAGAATGAAAAAAGATATTTGAATTTACTTCAATCCAGGAAGCAGAAGTAGATAGACTGTCGAAGGAAGTGAGTGCAATGCAGAACGTTTCAATCCAAACTAACGTGGTGACAGTATCTACTGGATCTGATAGTGGCATAGAGAGCGGACAAGAGGAAGTGGGACCCCCTCCTGCTCCGGGCACACAAAGTGAGGAGGATGTCACTCAGAAACACGTTAGTAAATTATTGTTATATAACGCGTTATTAATCACCCGAAACACGCTATAAAGCACGTTTCTAGTCCGTCCCTTTCCTCTTGATCTTATCGCTGAGTCGGGTGGTGTAGTGGTAACTTGGTAACTGAGCCGGTAACTGAGCTGGTAACTGAGCTGTTCGTTATGATGAAAAGCTTGCGTTTGTGATTTATCAAAGCTACAAAATTTAACAAAATTTAACAAAATTTAACATGTTACAAGCGATACAGTGTACATCATGTTTTAAGCTTTAAGCTAGACAACACCGCAATGAATCGCTCAAAAAGAATAAAAGAACCGGAGAACCGCGACAAACACAACCGTACAGACTACAGAGGAGCAGAAAATATTATGCAATGAACTAATGATAATGCACGACAAGTTTTAAAGGATAAAGCACGCGATACAAACTACATATCAGATAAATTGTTAACATATTTTATTGATATTGGTAAATTCTTCACCAGGAGGATGTAGGAAATGATATTAGTAAATTCTTCACCAGGAGGATGTAGGAAATGAGCTTAGCGTCAGTTTAAATCCTGGAGAGGTTGGGTTGGGAATAGAGTTTACCGGCGGGAATGACGCTCAAACATCTCCCGGAGATAATGGTTAGTTTATTACAGTATGATTGTTTGATAGTTACCAATTATTTTTAGTTGACAGTTCTAGACCGTTGATCATGATTGTATATGACTACAAGATTGAATAGAATAGCTTAAAACACATGCTCCATTTAAAGAATAGCCTAAAAGCTTCATAGCTTTAATACATGTACTTCATTTCAGGAATATACATTCTTCGACTCTCACCAAAAGGAGCAGCCGCTAAAGATTCCGTTCTTCTGGCTGGAGATAAAATCGTATCTGTAAGTTATATTAAAAATGTGTTGATAAATTTGATGAGAATCCAGACAGGGTATGATATCTTTCAGTCGGCTCAATAATTGATAAATGTTGATCTTTAACAAATTTTCTTAGTTGTTCTTCGATTAACTTATCACAATTTCAGGTAAATGGCGTTTCATTGGAGAATGTATCCCACGCAGAAGCTGAAGAAGCCCTTTATAAATCTGGTGAAACCGTTGTGGTAGTTGTTATCAGAACTGCACCTGAGGTTTGTGAAAAGTCCTCAATAAAGTTACTGATGAGCATAGCAAGTCTTATTCGCTTATTCGAATATTTAACGATTTTCATTCATTCTCTTTTCAAGCTTATTTTTCCAAAAATCAATAACTTGTAATTACAAAACACTCACGATAATCAGGCTGCTAAAGAAACAGATGCTGCAGAGCTTAGCGCTGCTGCTGATGCAGCTTCAAAGCAGGCTGAGGAAGAATCCAGGTAATCTTCATGGAGAACTGAATATTTTTGTTTATCTTACTGAGTGGAGTTGGGTTAAAAACATATAAGAGATACGATGATTTAACTTGTAGAAGCTTTCAATAAACATGTGTTAATCGTCGTCAGCTGAATGTGATGTGGTGGACAATGCTTATATGTGATTGAGTGGTGTCAGGGATGGAGGGTGGGGGAGGTGTGGGTGGGAAAGTGAAAATTACAGTACAATGTCAATAAAAATTAATACAAATTTAGTCTTCTGTTGAGGTTGAGAAGGAAATGCCAGATGGTCTGGACTTTAAGGATTTGGCAATTTTAGGAAGAATGGGGTCCCAGAGGGAACTACATTTGGGTGCGCGGTCTGTTCTGTTCATAGCTGGTTGTCGTATTTGTATAGCTGCGTGTTCTGTGAGGTCAAGTTGGGAGCGTGAGGTGAGGGATTTGAGGACTTCGATGTTGTTCCAGGAGATGGTGTGGCCGGTGGTCAGGGCATGATGTGCAGGGGCTGATTTGATTCTGTCTGTGGATTCGTCGATGGCGTTGTTGAGTCTGTAACATCGTTCGTGTTCTTTCATGCGGTGGACCAAGGGTCTGTAGGTCTGTCCGGCGTATTTGGAGGGGCACTGTGAGCAGGAAATTTCGTAGATGGTGTTGGGAGTGAGGTGAGTAGGGGGTGTGGTCTTCGTTTTGGTGAGGAGGTTGCGGAGGGAGGTAGCAGAGGAGTGGGTGACTTTGATGTCGTGTTGTCCGAGTATCTTGGAGATGGGTTTGGATAGGGAGGGATGGAAAGGAAGAGAAACACTAAGGGCATGTTCACGGGTCTGTCGGTTGAATGAGGCTAGGGATTGGTGGCGAGAGGGGTTGGTGAATTTCCGTTGTACTTCGTCCATGATGGTGGTGATGCGGTGAGGAGGGAAGCCGTTCTGGAGGCAAACGTGTCGTACTGTCTGGAGTTCGTCGTCAAGGTGTTGGGGTGAGCAGATGTTGTGGGCTCTTCTGGTCAGTGATCGGATGACTGCGTTCTTAGATGAGTTGGTGGTGCAGGAGGAGTACTTGGTGTAGAGGTTGGTGTGGGTATCTTATTTATCTTATTTGGAATATCTTAAGACTATTCTAAATTTAAAGCGGGCCAAGAGTAAATTGCTGGTTTGATTTGATACCTCCATATAATAACCGCACCCACTATAATTTCATCATTACGTGCTCCTAAATTGTGTTCATTCTGCAACTATTGCAAAATTTGCAATATGATTCCAATATAGAGGCAATTAGTGGTCAACGCCCTACACAGACACAGCCATAGTGGCAGAAAGTGTGCAATAACGTAATGTGCTTATTATGATTGCTACAAAATATCTTCAAACTTACCACAATATTACAGTCAAATCAGAATTTCATAAAGACTCCGATTTGTATTTTATACTATTTGTTTAGAAAGCGAGCAGAGGAAGAAATAGCTGCTAAAGTAGCAGAGGAAGAATCGAGAAAGCGATTAGAAGAAGCGAAAGAGAAGATGGCTGCTATAGAATCAGCAACAGAGTTGCTGGAGGAGGAGAAGAAGGAAGCTGAGCGAGCTGCTCGCGAAGCAGAAGAGGGGAGAATCGCAGAAGAGGAAGCAGCAGCGGCACAGGTGGCTGCTGAAAAGGCTGCTTTGGAAGCTGTCGCTGAGGAGAAAGAGCAGATGTTACTGGAGGCTAAACAGGCGGCGGAGGTGGCTGAGAAGGCAAAGGCAGAGGCTCTCATGTGGACTCAAAAGGCGGAAGAGGCTGCAAAGAAAGCAGGTATGGAATTGGAAGCTTCGAAACGGGCAGCCGAGGAAAGGATTGCTGCAGAACGAGAAGCTAAAGAAGCAGAGGATGGTGCACGACAAGCACAGAAAGAATTAGACCGCATTGCAGCTGCCGCTGCTGCTGCAAAGGTGAGGATTTTACACTTTGCAGATCGACCGTATTATATTTTTTCGAAATGTTGGATTGCTTTATTGAGTTGATTTATTGCAATGGTCGATTGAGGTTATATAAAGTGACGGACTTTCAACGTAGGAAAATAAAGAAAGATTAGCTAAAGTTGCTGAGGAAGAGAAGAAGAAATCGGAAACTGAATTAGCTCAGAAAACAGAGGCCATTAAAAAAGAAGCCGCTCAGACAGAAACCTCTCAACCAGAGACTCAAGGTAACATTTTACATAATAGCCTGGGGTCCTCAGGTAAGGTAACATTCTATCGTGGGTCAAATTATCGAAATTGAGTTCGGAGCGGTCAACGTAGGAATTGCTTTAAACGTCGAGAAAATGTATTTTTACGGCATTGTTCCAAAATATGAGATTCCTAATTATACATCCGAATTTTTTGCTGCAGCTTTTGCGGGAATCGAACATCTCGTGAAGCAAGATTCTGGATGGGGGCAACGATACAACTCAGTGAAAACATCCTCTGGGATCCTCTGAGCAAGGGTCTACCCAAATTTTAAAACGGAACGCGCGCCGTCATAATTAAGCTTAAATAAGCGCTTCGGACTCCTGAAGCATGGAACGTTGCTAGGCAACCGATAACTTTCCGCCAAATAATGTCAGCCAAATACAGGCCACAGACGAAATAAAAAACCTGAGTAAATGGAATGTTCGAATTGACCATATAATAGTTCTTACACACTAGTGATGCTTGCATATTGTATGATAAATAGTGGGAATAGTGCGCCTATCTCGAGAATCAAGTGGTAAGATCTAACTGACAAATAACTGATTTACTCTAGTGGTTTACATTGGTACAGTTAACAGTAAAAGTCATATTTATCTCCGAAATTAATTTCAGATGATCCAGCGCCCAACTTCCAGTCAGACATCGACGGCATTATGAGTGATTACAAAAACTCTGTCGAGCAGTATAACAGGTAAATAGTGAACATTGACATCGCGAAGTATAATTCTAAATTTTAATACTGGGATTCAATCCTGGCAATTTTTATAATTTCCACCTCACATATCTGTGTAACAATAGTTTGCCAGCAAATGTACTCGTAGATTAGCATTAATTGTTCTAGGAAACGTGGAACTGAAGAAACGAGGATGGACTTGGATCTTCAGGACAAATTAAGAGCTAGGAGGCAGAGGAGACGGCAGCAGATGAAACAGAAAATACAGGAAGGAAACATAAAAATGGTAGGCTAATCCTGGGGTTATTGAGTGATAACTATATATTATATTTATATTGTATAGGTTTGTGCTTTCGAGCCAGATTAAAAGATTCATTCCTTGCCATGGAATGAACCAACCACATCTAAAACTTAATCAATTTCAGAAGCAGATGGAGGTAGAGCAAACAGAAAATGGTGCTGAATAATGAATACCGTGCTGCCATTTTGTTAGAAATATGTTGCTTATAAATACAGAAGTTTTAGATTTGATTGTGAACTATATTTGGGAATAATATATTAGACATGTCTTCATTTTTTGATGAATTAGATATTTTTAATCCACCAGTTTCGATCTTTAATTTTATCATGCAGGTATTCAGAAGGTTCACGTACTGTAGTGCGACACGTACTCTAGTGCGACATGTACCCTAGTGCGAAACCTCCAAGATCGACCATGTCGCAGTTGAGTACGTTACCTGGATCGTAGTGCGACACGTACCCTAGTGCGACAGAGAATGTTCAAGGCCGACACTGTCGCACTACAGTGCGCTACCTGGACTGTAGTGCGACACGAACTAAAGTGCGACGAAGCACTTTACACATTCACTAGGTCATGTTGCTGCATCTTCCTTCTCCAGCCGTCAGGATAGAGTCAGTGGATAGTCACCAGCTGCGTGAACAAGTTAGTCGAGGTGCTGTAGGTACCATCGATGACAAGATGAGGGGCCTCAGCTAAACAATCCATATTTTCCACAGTGCCGAACAGGAAAGATCTTCTTCTCTCTGCTGAAAAGGTAGAATCCCAAAGAAGGAAGGTTCCGCCACCGTTCGTTCTGATGTAGTCAGGAGTTAGGAGCTGTGCGTGCCATCTTAGCGAGGGATTCCTGCTGACAGTTGAGTTTTGACATGGCTTCGAAGGAGAGGGGTCCAACAGCGTCAGCAATCAGGTGTTTCGTAGGGAGGTCAGTATCGGAGGCTTTCCGTTTCATGTTCTGCTTTGCTGTGTAGACAGAGTTTGCTGCAGGAGTAGGAGGGTGGGAATGGGTCTTCGTACTGGTCACAGTAGTGTCGTTCATCAAACTGAGAAGTCCGGAGCAGATCTTCTCAGTGCATCGCCAGTAGGTCATGTCGTCGCGCTTCTAGGAATGAAGACATGTTGATGTTGTTCGATGCTTTGGTAGAATCATCGTGACCTTATATATGGCCCAAGCATATGAACTTGTTATCCCAATCGGAGATATACCTTCATACGATGCGTGATAGGAATGAGGATCATATGCTGCTTACGAGTTACCCGGTGGATCACACACTGCATACGTGGCTTGAACTGACCCGAAGGGTTGTGATCAGTGGATCACTTCGAAACACGTGATGTGAACCGACGAATCGTATTCTCAAGATCACTTCGAAATAAGTGACGTGAACCGACCCGACGAATCACTTAATGGTCCATAAGAAGGATAGGATGTGACCTGAACTTGAAAATAAGTCAGGATATTTTGTCGCACTAGAGTACGCTACCTGGATCGTAGTGCGACACGTACTGTAGTGCGACAGAGGGTGTTTTTGTCGGACTTCGCACTAGAGTACGTGTCGCACTAGAGTACGTGTCGCATTACAGTACGATTACCTATTCAGAATATCATCGGATTTTGATTTTGTTTGTTAGAGTTGACTTGTGAATTTTTTTGTGATGGTTACGGATAGTAGTAGATATTTGTGTACTAACCGTAGTCGTAGTTTTTGATCTGTAAATAAAATTTTAGGATACATTGTAAATAGTTGTAGATAACACATATGATCATCAGATTTAATACTATGTTTATAAAGCAAATGTTTCATTTCCCATTTCCGTTCGCTTAACTCAGACGAAGTTAACGAGGCTTGTGAGCTTGAGCTGAACTACTCGAGCGAGGGACCCCATAATTTGAAAATAAATTCCCCCTAAAATTAAATACATATCATAAATTAATCGTCACTGATTGGGCGACGTGGTCAAATCTTTAGCCTGATCAAAGAGATTCTTAATGGTCGGTCACTGATGTGGCCAGATACTGAAAAAAAAGCCCCAGAAACGCGATCCCCTGTCTTTCTGCAGAAAGAACCACAATCCAAATCCTCGGCTGAGTCAGCTTGTCTACCTCCCCTGTTAAGTGTTAAGAGTGAGCGGGAATCAGACAAACCTTCTCGGAGAGATAATAAGGACGTTCACATAATATTACGTAATCACTTTTTGGACAATTTTTAACCCCCTCCCCTCTCCGTAATCAACCTTAGACATAGCTGTGTCAAAATTACACTAGTGTAATCATTTGGAAACCCCCCTCCCCTCTCGGCTCTCAGCTGATTACGTAATATGTGAACGACCCCTATAAGGAGAGGCTGCAGCTGAAGAAAGATAAATATTATTCTGAAATATAATTTTACAGTCCCCAATATATGATTTCCAAAGACCGTCGACGAGTCCAACTCGGCGCGCGTCTTGGTAGGCTTTAAACCTACAATAGGTATACAGATGATTACTTTGATGTTGAAAGCATTATGACTGAAATGAAGTCTGCTGAGCACTGATGAGTCGGATAAGGAAGATGTAGTGTCATTGAATTGGATAAGCATTTGGATGACGAGCATAATGTGTAGTGTAAAAATGTGTAGTGCAGAAATGTGTTCATTGTTCCTTTATTATGAATAAACTCAAATCTTAACACTTTTATAGTACCTACCTTATAATGAAGCCGACCAAATGTCGAATTGAATCAACTTCTCTCCGTGCATGTATCGTGATAACTGATAAGATTCAATAAGATCGGTTTCTGTTTCACACTCTATATCTATTTCTTGAGCTAATATTGATGCTATTACAGAAAATAAACTAATTGGTCCTTGATAAATTGTAGACATTGTAAATAATTTGGTAAATACTAAATACAAGCCGGATGATCTTGCTCCATCGATACACGTTGCAATTCCCTTTTTCCCAATTGCAGTCACGAAATCAGGTATGATCGCGACGTTAGATAACGACGTCCTAAGTAGATGGCCCGATTATCACCCGATAGAACCAATTAAATAGACTGTGAAATAAATTTTCTCTCGGCAGGGATTCTGCCGTTTTTGAGTCGGTACGTAGTTAATTCCGTGTAATTCCGTGGTAGTTGCATGACAATACTAATAGTCATTGCTCGTTCAGCTCTCCTTAATCTTCTATTAAACGATAGTTCCTTTCAATCCTTTATCTCTTGGATTCTAAGAGGAGAAATACGTATCGTACCGGGGGTTAAATACGTACGATACAAGCAGTCGGGTAAGTACGTACGATTTAAAAAAATTAAAATCTTTCAAATCAATCAATTACATACAAATTTACACAATGAATGAACAACATTAAATATTCTCAAAAGTATAAGACTCCGATAAAATCAGATTTTCTAGGACAAAATGTATGTAATCAAAGGACCTGAGGGTCACCAAAACACTGATGTTGAGAGCAAAAAGCACCTCCTGCACAAGTATGGGCCCACGGAAATCTTGAATTTTAAATAGAATTTCAAATAGAATCACACAAAAATATCAAAAGCAATCAAATCATATAATAAAGTGAAATCCATGATGTCATGATATGCACTAAAATGAGAAATGATAAATACAGACAACAGGGATTTAAGCTCTTATGAACATATTGTTAGCTTTTAGGTAGACTGCCTCACATCTCTGTCTCGAGGGAATAATCTAGATCATAATCAAAGTCCTCCGGCAGAATTTTATCCCACATGTAGGAGGTCAATTTGCTTTTGAACTCAGAAATAGTCTCTATCTCACGTATAGCTAGAGGAATATGATTCCATTTGGAATGGGTCCTAAAGTAAAAGTTCTTAGCAAAAGCGTTAGAGCTTGCTCGTGGTAAGATTGAGCTTACAAAACATAAGGGGTCCATGTGGCTATTTCTTAACCTTGAGTGGCCTTGAAATGGTTGCAAATATGAGGGTAAAGTGACAGGTATATGTTGCTTCACAATTTTAAAGAAGAAAATAAGGTCAAGAAAGTCGAAGCGGTCTTCTATGGGCATAATCTTAAGCTGTCTGCATTTTTGAATGTATGTGGATGGTGGATAACTCATATACTCTTCGTGAAGAATCCACTTAATAGCACGCTTTGGGAGGCCCTCCAGCTTGCTTATCTGGGATTTTGTGACCGGTCTCCATATAACTGAGCAATGCTCAAATTGACTTCTCATTAAAGTGAGATACAGTACTCTACGACGATTTTCATCTTGAACAAAATAGCAATTTCTCCTTGCCATGCCTAATTTTTGGTTGGCCTTTGAAAGGACTTTAGAGCACTGGTCTTGCCAGTCGAGATTCTTGGTCACAAAAACACCCAGATCCTTTTCATGATCGACATAGTCAAGTGCGATTCTTCCCATGGAGTATACAAAGTTAAAGAGTGGTAGGACACTAAGGAGGGAAACTGTTTCGGATATCCTTCCTGCGACGGTGAGGACCTTACATTTGTCAGGATGAAATCTCATTTTATTAGAAAGTGACCAGTCATGGAGACAATCAATGTCCTTCTGCAGTCGCAGGATATCAGACTCCGTGACAATCTCACGCCAAATTTTAGCATCATCGGCATACAGTGACAGTTGTGTGCCTGGTGAAATCCCCACTGATATATCATCAATGAACATAATGAACAACAATGGTCCCAAAATTGACCCTTGTGGTACACCAGACTGGGCGTTTCTCATAGAAGAAAACTTACCACTTATCAAGACCTGTTGTTGCCTGTCTCTTAGATAATCAGTGATGAATTTCAGTAGCCTCTCATCAATACCAAATTTGCTCTTTAGCTTAAATAATATAAGATCATGGTTAACCGAGTCAAAAGCTTTGGCAAAATCAAAGTAGACTACATCTGTTCTCATATTTTCATTCAGTGAGAGAGCTAGGCTGTCACATAGACCTACAAGATTAGTTGCACATGATCTTTCAGCTCGAAAACCGTGTTGTTTATCATTGATCATGCCGTTAGTAAGTAACTCATCTTTTATTATGCGTTCAAGAACTTTGGTGATTAAGCATGTAAGGGATATTGGCCTATAATTTGAAACCTCATGTTTATCACCTGTTTTATATATGGGTACAACGTGTCCCAGTTTCCACTCCCTAGGTAATGTCCCAATGTTGTAACATGAATGAAATAATAGTGATAATGGGTATGCAAGCCCAACAGCACATTTTTTCAAAAGTTTCCCATGAATACCATCAGGCCCATAAGCTTTGTTAGAGTTAATATTGGAAAGGATTTTGCGGACCCTTTGGTGGTCAAATGCAATATCAAAGCGCCAATCGTTTGAATAATCAATATCTATGTCGTATAATGATGTCAGGATGGAATGGAGTGACGCCCCCCGCTAGCAGAATGGCAGTTGTAACAGACGTGCTCGCTAGAAGTCTACCTTTGCTCACCTTACTTCTCCTTATGCCGATGTCTTCGACTTTGAACATTTCAAGTTGGAACCTCAATGGTATTAAAGGTAACATTCTTAGGAGAGAACATTTAGTAAGTGACGCTAAACGTTATCATTTTGATGTAGTGTGTCTCCAAGAGACAAAATGCCGAGACTTCGAGGAAACAATTATTGACGGTCACAAACTTGTAACACTAGCCCAATCAGACAATTGGTATCATTATGGTCTCGGTTTCCTAATCTGCCCAGCCCTTGTACCTTCTATTGTTGCATGGAGATCACTTAGTAACAGAGTGGCTTTCATTGATATAAGACTCACAGAACACAACGGATCTCATCGTATGACCAGGATCGTTAACGTGTACGGACCAACCAAGAAGATTGTCGATGATGACATCAGTAGGGTCACAGGTAACTCCCCATTGTTACAATCATATTTCAATGATCTGAAAACTGCTATCAATATCCCAGCTCGATTCGATTTGTTTGTTGCTGGAGATTTTAACGCCCGCCTTGGGAGATGCAGTAGGAAAGAGTATGATGCTGGCCTTAATAATCATATTGGTCAGTTCGGTAATGGTCTGAGAAACAGGAACGGTGAGTTCCTACTGGACTTTATTGTTGATAATGGTCTGTTTGCGTGCAATACTGCGTTCCAACACAGAGCGAAGCATATTACCACCTGGAAGGCTAGATGTGTTCCCAAGGGTAGACCCAAGGGTTCAAAAGACACTGTGAACTATTTTAAACAAATTGATTATATTTTATGTCGTACTAACTTTAAAGTCTGTTTAACAGACTCCCGCTCTTTTTGCGGTGATTTTGCGAAATCTGACCATAAACCTGTGGTCGCACGTTTTAAACTTGGTTGTGAATACATTGTACATAAGCGGCCTAGGTCTGACAAAATAAGGTTTGATGTCAATCGCCTTAATGATTCTGATATTAAGTCTAAATTTTTTGATTCCTTTAAAAGTAATATTGATTGTAGAGTTTTAACTAATAATGCTATTTCTGAAAATTCTGATATATTTGGTATATTGAGTAAATGTGCCGTCCAGGTGGTTGGTAAAGTGCCCCCGGGGAAGCCTCATCAGTACAGCGATGATCCAACTGTCGTTAAACTTTCAGCAGAGAGAAAGTCCCTTCAGCAAGAATGTAGTCTCACAGGGATAAGCGACAGGAGTGACCTCAGAAAAAGAATCAACCATCTCAAACGTACCATCAAAAAGAGGTTGAAATCCACCAACGAGGCCACTGCTAACGCCCTAGTAGATGTCATCAACAACACCGACAGCTGTAGAAGCATGTTTGAAGCGAATAGAACTTTGGCCCAGTGTAGGATGAAGAAAGACGGAG